TGTTTTGAATTCCTGGAAGCTTTGTAAATGCGTTTTCCCAGCTTTCAGCCTGTGGAGGAAGGCAAGTGACTGATTCTCCCATTCCTTTAACCTCCTTCATCCCCACTGGACAGAGATAATGCCGTTTCCCTAATTACACCAGACTGGCCTGCTAGTCCCGTGTCGGTTCTCATTATGGGAACAGCTGTCAGGGAGGTTTCTTTGACACAAAGCCTGCCTCTCTACACTCTTTCCTCCGGGCTCTTTTCCATCTCCTTCTCGTCCTTTTCCTGTTTCTACTTCTCTTGATTTCGTGTTTGCTTTCTCTTCACTGCTAATTCCTTTTTCTGGGTGCCGTTGATTTCCTCCTCCTTGGCAGAACCCCATCCTTGCCCTCCTTCTCCACTAGATCTCTCTTTTGGAAGCTGAGTGAATGTTAACCTGCTAGAATGAGTAGGTGTAAATGCAGCTTGCAGAACATGGACTTGACACAAACAAGAGACTCGAGTCCAGACCTGGAGGAATAAATGTACGGATGAGAAGCGCGAGCGAGCTGCTTTTCTCGCTTCCTTTCTGAGGGCTTACTTCATTCATTTCATAGGCCAAGCGCTCCTTCGGTGAGAACGTAAATAAAGACACAGCAGCACTTCATCAGCCTATTCTAGGAGGGAGAATTATGGAAACAGATTCTTTTATATGGTGATAGGTAAGAAAAATGTCCTGTGGGATCCTAGAGATAACAAACTCAAATCCAACACTAGAAATGGGGCATGCCTATAAAATAACCATTCTTAAACACAGTAACTGATTCAATCCACTCAACAATCTAGATGCCATTTTACAAACCTGTATATGATCCGTCAAACTCCCCTTGGCATCCAGAGGTGTTGCTTTTGGGCTGCCCCTGTAAGAACGGCAATCATCAAGGAGTCCGGTGAAGTAACAACCTTTGACTCTCTGATTCTTCTACCTCTGGCCAAAAACTGAAGAAATACAAGATACAAAGTAGCACCCAGGCCTCTAATGAGTAGTCCGCTCTGGGAGCCTCCATGGCAAAGGGGGAGCCTTAGACCTGCATCTTTCTCCTTCCTTCAGCTCTTAGCATGTGCTTCTCGGAGAATTCTACCAGTCACCCACATTCTTTTTTTCCTTCTTAGTGTCAAGCCTCACTGACAAAGACAAGGTTTCTCTGAGTAGCCCTTGTAGACCAGGCTGGCCTCCAACTCAGAGATCCACCTCCCTCTGCCTACCTAGTGCTAGGATTAAAGACGTGCCCCATCCCTTTCACCTCATCCCTCCCCCCTTACCTCTGGGCCATTGGCATGTTTTTATCGCTCACAAACTCTTGTATCTGGGGCATTAGTTACCATTCCTAGCACTTAACTAATAAACAATACCTTCTGATTCCCAAATCATTGCACGAGTCCCATTCCCAGTGAGGCCCAACTTTGACCTCCCTTTACTTCTGCTTGTCTTTTCACACCTTTCATAACAGTAAACTGATAAATCCTAGTGGACATTTAGGTTTTGGTCAAGTAGTAAGGAGGTGACTAGGCTGGCTAGTGGCAGGGGGCTGTAATCTCAGCTCCTGGAGAGTTGGAAAGGATGACTGTAAGCTCAAGACATGCCTGGGTTACAGAGTAAGTTCAAAGACTGCCCAAGAACAGAAAAAGGCTGAGGATACTGCTCAAAATGTGAGAGATGGGGGCTGGAGAGATGGCTCAGAGGTTAAGAGCACTGACTGCTCTTCCAGAGGTCCTGAGTTCAATTCCCAGCAACCACATGGTGGCTCACAGCCATCTGCAATGAGATCTGGTGCCCTCTTCTGGCCTGCAGTCATACATGCTGTATACATAATAAGTACATAAATCTTAAAAAAAAAAAAAAATGTGAGAGATGAGGGTATATGAGGCCCTGGTCAACCCCTAGTGCCACAAAAGGAGAAAATAAAAGTATGAGTAGGACTTAAATACCAAAATTGGTGGGTGGAGCTGAAGTTTTCTCCAGTCCTGCCCAGCACCATGGACCCTGCAACCGCTTATAAAATAATCACTCAGAAGCTTATATTAATTAAACTGCGCGGCCATTAGCTCAGGCCTACACTGACTAGCTCTTACACTTAAACTCAGCCCATTTCTGTTAATCTATATGTCGCCACATGTTCCGTGGCTTTACCTGCTGCCTTTACATGCTGCTCCCTGGACGGCAGTCTCCTGACTCAGCCTTCCTGTTCCTAGAATTCTCTTCTCTGCTTGTCCTGCCTGTACGTCCTGCCTGGCGACTGGCCAATCAGCATTTTATTTATACAGAGCGATATCCACAGCAGGTGGGTTCTGTGAGTGTTGTAGTAAATTGATAGGAAGAATAGAAAAGTCATATATCCCACATAAAAACATGAACTGGAGATGTGCCAACTGTGGAACCGACTCCCACCGTGCAGGAGGCTGAGTGTGAGGAGTGCAATGTCTCTGCTCATAATTGGGCTCACACTCTGATTTTGCTCTGCTGCCCTGGAGTTTCTGGCTTTGCGCATGCTGGGTACCTGCTCCAGTACTGAACTGTAGATAAGACCTTGCATGTTTAATACAGCCTGTTACCTCTGCACCAATGAAAAACAGTAGTTTCACATTTTTAGAACAATATGTTTGTAAATTGCTATACAATTGTATACTACCAAATTAACCCAGTAAACTGTGACACTTTTACCACAGTTGACAGCACAGCTAAAGCTCAACAGTTCAAATTATAGCCAGATGTGGTGACATACACTTTTAATATCAGCACTTGGAGGGCAGAGCAGGTGGCTCTCTGTGAATCTGAGGGTTTCAGGCCAGTCAACGCTACATATCTCAAAACAACAAATTCAAATTGTGTGTGTGGGTACATACATAATATGTGTGTGTGTACCAATTATAGCATATGCTATATGTCAATAGCAACAACAGATTTTCCAGGAAGTGAGGAAGGTTGCATCCAGTTATGGATGGTGAGCCACCATTCAGGTGCTAGGAACTGAACCTGGGTGCTCTGGAAGAATAGCAAGTACTATAGAGACATCTCTCCAGCTCCTAAGGACTACTGTCTTTAAGACGGAATCCAAATCTCTCATCTTCTACCGTACTGCAAGACTCTATCTAGTACTGTGGTTCTTGGACTGGATAGCCCAGCGGTAGAGCATTTTCACAGCATGCACAAGGCCAGGGCATGCAGGGAAGTGCTGTCATGCCTCATCTCTATCACCACACACAACATACATTTTACATAAAAAAATATTTAACTATAATTTATATATTTCACAAGGTCCACATGTTAAGGACCTTAAAAGAGCAGTGATCTCTGAGCTGCGGGATACGGCTTAGTGGTAGAGTACCTGCTTAGCATTCCTGAGGCCCGAGGTTCAACCTCCAGCATCATGAACACAAACAAGTGATGTTATAAACAGAAGAAGGTACGTTTGTGAATGATTAGCTTCAGCAGTGCTCTCATACCCCAACAAGGGAGATCTTTTGCTTTCGCTCCTGTTTCTGGCTACGTTTGCCAGCCAGCCAGCCCCAGGGATCTACTGGTCTCCACCTTTCCAACACTGAGATTACAGCTACCTAACAACAGGCTGAAGAGATGGTTCAGGGGGCTGGAGAGATGGTTCAGAGGTTCATGGCTGCTCTTCCAGAGATCCTGAGTTCAATTCCCAGCAACCACCTAGTGGCTCACAACCATCTACAATGAGATCTGGTGCCCTCTTCTGGCCTGAAGGGATATATGCAGGCAGAACACTGCACATGAGAGAGAGGGAGATGGGAGAGGGGAGAGGGGAGAAGGGAGAGGGGAGAGGGGAGAGGGAGAGAGATGGTTCATCAGCTAAGAGCACAGGCTGCTCTTTTGGAGGACCCAGGTTCAATTCCCAGGGCCCACATCACAGATCACAATTGTCTGTAACTCCAGTTCACAAAGATGACTCCCTCTTCTGGTCTTCAAGGGCACTAGGCACACATGTGGTATACATACATGCAAGCAAACACTCATACACAAAAAGTAAGTCTTTTTCAAAAGTAAACTTTAAAAAAAAAAAGTCTGCCATTACACACAGCTCTTCCTTGAATTTCTATGGGTTCTGGGAATCTCAGAACCTCATGCTTGCACAGCAGGCATTTTACTGAGCTATCTCCACATTTCCTGTACATTTTTAAAAGACTATGTTTCTCCATGCTGCAAAGATGGCTCTCTATTAAGCTGTTTGTCTTAGAACATGCCTGAAATCCCAGAACTCAGGATATTGAGGCAGGAGGATTGCTAGTTCAAGACTGGGTAGAGAGTCACATAGTGAAACTCATGTCTTTCCACATATATAAAAGGAAAGAAGAAACCAATAATAACCTTTAATTTAGAAAATCTGGGTGACTGGAGAATTGGCTCAGTAGTGAAGAGCACTTGTTCTTGTGAAGGACCTGGGTTCAATTCCCAAGTTCCCACATGGAGGCTCACCACCTCAGGTACTAGGTATGTATCTGGTGCACAGAGAGACATTCAGGCAAAGCACTCATATGAATAAGACAAATCTAAAAAAAAAAAAAATTAAAAAAAAAAAAAAGATCAACACCCAATCTCTACCATAAACCAAGGCTGATTTGAGTTTTTGCCAGATCTCTGTGAGTTCAAGGCCAGTCTGGTCTATAAAGTGAGCTACAGAACTGTTACACAGGGAAACCCTGTCTTGAAAAACCAAGAAGAAAAAAAAAAAGAAAGAAAGAAAGAAAAAAAATGAAAAAGAAAATCCGGGGCCTGAAGGGTACAAATCTGTGGTATACTGATTGCTAGCATGTGCAAGCACCTGGGTTTACAATCAACTAGACTAACAATCTGTGCACCCCATCCCGCCCATCTATCTCTCAACCAATAACATCCATCCGTCACCCACCCACGCGTGTTCTATTCCCGCTAATTTAATGTGTGATCAGTAAGGGAGGACTGAAAGAATCAATATGGCCGCTCTGCCAGCAACCGACATGGCAAACACAGCCTCACTGCTCCCGGAAGCACGAGAGAGAACAGTCGTAAGGATTACATCCGCTGTTTCGCCAACACCTAAAGCTTGCGCTCGCGAAACCGGAAGTGGCTTTTCATCTTGGCTCTTTATCCGGCTGGCCTTCAGGCGTCCGCGTGAGAATTGGATGTGTCGTCGTTCTAGGCTTGGGAGGTGCTAGTTCGCCTCGCCTGATTCGAGCGGGGTCGGTGCTGGGAACTAGGATGTCGGACACGTGGAGCTCTATCCAGGCCCATAAGAAACAGCTGGATTCGCTTCGTGAGCGGCTGCAGCGGAGGCGGAAGCAGGACTCTGGGCACTTGGGTGAGGTGCGGGGTGGCTGGGGCGGGCCGTGGAGGGGCGAGCGACCCCAGGAGAGAAAGACAGCTCGGGCTCTGCGCCCTTTCCGCAGTGACCATTTATTGGACGCCTCGAACGTTGGTAGCCCGCCTTTCCCCCTGAGTAGCGGAAACCTATGTCCACCTGCAGGAAGCCTGTGCCGCCTCCCCTGGGAAGCCTCTCAGTACCCTATTCTGAGGGGCAGCAAGGCCCTTTTTGTTGTTCTTGGTTGTAGCGATTGCTCAGTCACTGTGTCATTTCTTTAACACTGTGGGCAGGGATTACACCTGTATGTCCCCAGTTTATCAGCCACAACAAGGTCCTCACTAGGTGGTGCAAAAGGAGTAGGGAAAAGTGTTTACAAAATTTAGGGAGAATCTGAAAACACCTGGGTTTGGTCTTTAAACATTTTTTCCCCCTCTCCCTTGTATGACAAACTCGGAAAACTTGGAGGAACTTTAAAAGATTTTGAGTCCTACCCTAACATTCTTCCCCAGCACAAGGTCAATTATTTAAGGTAAATCAGTAGTTGCAAAGCTCTGCAAGAATACTGAATCCATACCACGTGCGTGGCTAGCTTGTGACAATGCTTGTTAGTATTCTCAACTCCCCCATCAGCAGATCTTGACGAAATTAAGTTCATGTGCTCATTTTCCGGACCTGGATGCTCAGGCAAGATTCTCACCATAACTAGTAAGCATTTGTTGCATATCTACACGATTCATGAGTCGTGACAAAAATAAAACATTGTTCTTACCTTAAAGGAGCTTAAAATCTAGGAAGTTAGGAGAAAAGGCCCGGGAGAAAGCCTGGCATGGTGGTGCATGCCTTAATCCCAGCATTCTGGAGACAGAGACAGGAGGATATCTATTAGTTTGAGGTCAGCCTGGTCTTCACAGGGAGTTGTGAGTTCCAGGACAGCCAGGACTAGTTAGAGACAGACCCTGGTCTCAAAAAGCAGTAGGAAATAGTAAATAAATAAATAGATCCACAGTCAATAGAATGATGAACAAGAATTGGCGTCCTCGGTGGGGTCCTCCTGCTGGAGTTGCCACTTGAATTGGCCCTGATTTTTAAATCTTTTTTTTTTTTTTTTTAATTTATTTTGTGTACATTGGTGTGAAGGTGTCAGATCCTCTGGAACAGGAGTTACAGACAGTTTCGAGCTGCCATGTGGGTGCTAGGAATTGAACCTGGGTCCTCTGTAAGAGCAGCCAGTGCTCTTAACCCCTGAGCCATCTCTCCAGCCCTGGCCTTGATTTTTAAATTTTATTAGCCAATGTAAAATTTGTCAGATTACACCACTTTTAAAAACAAGGCAGTATGGTAAACAAAGTGCAAAACCTAGGAATCAGGGAATAATTAGGAAACAAGATTTGGAGAATTTTTTTCCCCCTCACCATTCAAACTAACCTCTCTGCCTGGTAAGTTTGGTTTTCTTATTTTTCCCGTTTATGTTTTATGTGTATGGTGTATGTGTATTTTGCCTGTATGTATGCCTGTGATGTCTGTGTACCATGAATGTGTACCATGCATGTGGTGCCCATGGGGACCAGAAAAGGATTCCCTCCACCCTTCCATTCCCCTGCAACTGGGTTGTGAGCCACCATATGGGTGGTAGAAATCTAGGCTTGAACTAGGTCCTCTGCAAGTACAGTCAGTGTTCTTAACTGCTGAGCCATTTCTCCAGCTGCTGCTGCTTTTGGTATATCAATTTTATGTAGGAAACATAATTACATATCTATCATAGACAGATGACTAAACTGGCTTTTTCTTTCTTTCTTTCTTTCTTTTTTTCTAGACAGGGTTTCTCTGTGTAGCTTTGCACCTTTCCTGGAACTCACTCTGTAGCCCAGGCTGGCCTTGAACTCACAGAGATCCGCCTGCCTCTGCCTCCCGAGTGCTGGGATTAAAGGCGTGCACGACCACCGCCCGGCTAAAACTGGTTTTTAACCAACTTACCAAAGACTCCAGTTCCTGGACTTAAGTGTCTTTATTACCTTTTATTACCTTTTTGAAAACAGTCATTTAGGGGATGTGCATTTGCTGCACAGGCTTGAGGGCCAGAGTTCAAATCCCCAGCATGGTCTTGTAACCCCGAACACTGTCAGCAGCTGAGATGAGGAAGGGAATAAGGCAGAGAGAGAGTTACAGAGGCTGCCACTTGCAACACACACACAAGTGCAAAAACATGTATTTATATGGGTGTTTCTGAAAAATCTCAATTTATGTAAAAATATTGAAAATTGTAGATCTAGCTGAGTGTGGTAGCATACACCTATAATCTTGAACTTGAAAGACAAGAGGATTTTGAGTTCAGGGTCATCCTCAGGGATATAGCTATCCACGGCCTCCTCATGTGTACAGTTGGTGGGTAAGAACATACAGTGGAAATGTGCTGTAACCCTCATTTGCTGACCAGGCCTTCAGCCAAGTATTCCAAAGGCCTAATGTTTTTAAGTGTGAAACACATTCTTGATGGCCATTGGCCTTGATTCACTAAAAATTCAAAATCTGACAGGCGGTGGTGGCACACACCTTTAATCCCAACACTCTGAGTTTGAAGCCAGACTGGTCTACAAAGTTCCAGAACAGCCAGGGCTTACACAGAGAAACCATGTCTTGAAAAAAAAAATTCAAAATCCATCCCTGGAAGATATCTGATTCTCAGTTTTGATTATTAAAAAATATACATTTATTTTAAATTAAAATATGGGTTGATTGTATCATTAAGAGAAGAAAAGAGTGGCAGAGCCCTGTAAGTGTACCATGCTGTTTTACTTCTTTTGAGGCAGTGAGGACAGAGAATTAGGAAAAAACTTCCCAACAGAGAAAACATGCGTAGTTCTCAGTAAAATCCAGGATTATTTTGGCAAAACAGCAAATGCTTCTGTGTATCTGAAAGGTGATCCATTGCTAATGCTGGTCGGAGAACTTGCTTGAAATGAACGATGTGTGTGCTAGGAATGCTGGAGAGTTTGGCCTTGAGGAATGTCAAGATTACCAGCATTGACTCTCTTCACTTTATTTTTCTCTTTTAGATTTAAGGAATCCAGAAGCAGCACTGTCCCCAACCTTCCGTAGTGATAGCCCAGTGCCAACTGCACCTCCCTCTAGTGGCCCTAAGCCCAGCACCACTTCTGTGGTTCCTGAGTTAGCTACAGACCCTGAGTTGGAGAAGAAGTTGCTCCACCACCTCTCAGATCTGGCCTTAACCTTGCCCACTGATGCTGTTTCCATCCGTCTTGCCATCTCTACGGTAATAACCTGATAAAATTAGAATTGATCACATATTTGCTGTCGGTCGTGGTAGTGTCTCATGCTCATCCCCTTTCTCTAGCCAGATGCACCTGCCACTCAAGATGGGGTCGAAAGCCTTCTACAGAAATTTGCAGCTCAGGAGTTGATTGAGGTAAAGCGAGGTCTCCTACAAGATGATGCACATCCCACTCTTGTAACTTACGCTGACCACTCCAAGCTCTCTGCCATGATGGGTGCTGTGGCAGACAAGAAAGGCCTTGGAGAAGCAGCAGGGTCTATCACAGGGCAGAAACGGCGTGCAGAACAGGACTCGACTACTGTGGCTGCCTTTGCCAGCTCTTTAGCATCTGGTTTGACCTCTTCAGCATCAGAACCAGCTAAGGAGCCGCCTAAGAAATCAAGGAAACATGCTGCCTCAGATGTTGACCTGGAGATAGAAAGTCTTTTGAACCAACAGTCTACTAAAGAACAACAGAGCAAGAAGGTAGGGGTCATATGGAAATGCTCACATTATGCTTTGAATTACAGTTTTGATGTGTTACCTTTTGACAAGAAGTATTTCTCAGAATTAAGACATGGAGCAGTGGTTTTCAGCTGGAGGTGGTTTTCCTCTACCTTCACCTCCACCGGAAGTTTGTCCGTGTCCGGCTACATTGTTGTCACAGCACCAGAGAGTGCTGTTGGCATTGAGTAGATACAGGATCTAGAAGGTGGGGGCCAAAATTTGCTAACCATGCTACAGTGCATCGTAGGACACCTCCCCCACAATAAAACTGTCTAGCCCAAAATATCAGTAATCACATTGTTAGGAAGTCCTGATTTACTGAATCTATTTGGAAGAATCCTCAGAAGAGGATTCAGAGAAAAGAAAAATTCAAATAAATATAGGGAGACCGGAGTACTAAATGATATTCATTTCGACCAGGTTATGGAAATCAATGAAATTATCAATGGTTCTGATTAGAACTACATTGAATTCTCATCTGTTTATGACTTCTAGTTTAGTTTTAAAAAGTTAGAGCCGGGCGGTGGTGGCGCACGCCTTTAATCCCAGCACTCGGGAGGCAGAGCCAGGCGGATCTCTGTGAGTTCGAGGCCAGCCTGGGCTACCAAGTGAGTTCCAGGAAAAGGCGCAAAGCTACACAGAGAAACCCTGTCTCGAAAAAACAAAAAACAAAAAACAACAAAAAAAAAAAGTTAGTTTGGGGGCTGGAGAGATGGCTCAGTGGTTAAGAGCACTGGCTGCTCTCTCAGAGGTCCTGGGTTCAATTCCCAGCAACCACATGGTGGTTCACAACCATCTGTAATGAGATCTGGTGCTCTTTTCTGGTGTGCAGGCATACATGCAGGCAGAACACTGCATACATAATAAATAAATCTTTAAAAAACAAAAAAGTTAGTTTGGCTTTCTATGAGGATAACCAGTGTTTTCCCTTATTGAGTTATTGAATATACTGAGGTAAGCAACAGAATACTAGCATTGTGCCTTTCTCAGTACCATATCAATGCAGATTGGCCTGAGGGAAGCTATACTCCTAGGGAGGCAAGATGAGCTTAATGTTCAGTTGTAGAAACCAGGCTTTTTGTATTTTACTTCCTTTCTAAAGCCATTCTCCTATACTGTTAGCTCATTGATCTCTTATCAGACATTACTGTGAGGTAGACTTGTGGAGGTGGTTTAAGGGCTAATTGATCTACAAACTCTTAAGACCAAGGCTACTTCTGTCACAGGTCAGTCAGGAGATCCTAGAGCTATTAAATACCACAACAGCCAAGGAACAATCCATTGTTGAAAAGTTCCGCTCTCGAGGTCGGGCCCAGGTGCAAGAATTTTGTGACTATGGGACCAAGGAAGAGTGCATGAAAGCCAGTGATGCTGACCGTCCTTGTCGCAAGCTGCACTTCAGGTCTCTTGGGAGGGAATGAGGTGGGGAGGGTCTTCCAGAAACAGTAATTCCTTTTCAGCATATTCCATCTGTCTTTGGGATGGCCAATGTATGAGAAAGAATATAGGTCCACTTGTAAATAAAAGGAACTAAACTCTAGTCAGGCATCTGTATCTCTGACCAATAATGAAAGTTAAAGTTCTCTGGAAAGGAGGATAGTCCTAGAGAAACTACCTGGGCTTAGGCCAGTGTTTTATTCTGATGTAACGGCCAGGGTCTTTCCTATAGTAAGAGGAGAAAGTCTGTATTTTGATGTTTTTGAGACACAGGTTTTGTAGCTCAGGCTGGCCATGATGAAGATGACCTTTCTAACCTTAGGGCTCTACCTACCAGTACTGATATTATAGGCCTAAGCCACTGCACCCAGATCAAGTCTTTATTCAAGAGAACGAGTTCTTAAGTTTAACAATACAGAAAATTGGGGGAGAATAAGAAATCTTGCATTTGAATGTATGTATGATCTACTTCTGAAGTACCATCTTGATTCTGATCCCCCTTTTTTATTTTCCCAGACGAATTATCAATAAGCACACTGATGAGTCTTTAGGTGACTGCTCCTTCCTTAACACATGTTTCCACATGGATACCTGCAAATATGTTCACTATGAAATTGATGCTTGCATGGATTCGGAGGGTCCTAGCAGCAAGGAGCATACGCCAAGCCAGGAGCTTGCTCTTACGCAGAGTGTTGGTGGCGACTCCAGTGCAGATCGACTCTTTCCACCTCAGGTACCTACATGTCTGGAGAGCCTGGGAAAACCCCTTTCAACCTATAGACTTAAACTGAATGGGGTATCTGTACATGTAGAAAAATAGGGAATAATTAAGCAATCTGGCTCACTGATGGGAATGGAATGGGATAGAAATACTTGAGTTAGAGGGTTTGGGACCATGAATCTGTGAAGGAAGGAAAGATGACCAAATACTACCTCATGCAGTGGATCTGTTGTGATATCCGCTACCTGGACGTCAGTATCTTGGGCAAATTTGCAGTTGTGATGGCTGACCCACCTTGGGATATTCACATGGAGCTACCATATGGGACCTTAACAGATGATGAGATGCGCAGGCTCAATATACCAGTACTGCAGGATGATGGCTTTCTTTTCCTCTGGGTCACAGGCAGGTAATATAATCCACAGATATGTAGGTATGGGCAAATATAGTACAGAGTGAAAACTGGGTGGGAAATAAAATCCTGGGTTTTCTTAGGCATTCGATTAAATGTGTTACTGATTAAGGATTCCGCCCCTTCCCATGGGGCTGGGGTTTCTCAGACCTGTGATTAAAAGTGTCACTGATTTAGGATGCCAACCCCCTTCCATGAGACTTACTATTTATAGCACAAATACTTGGGATTCTTGATTTTAGAAAAATAGTCATTAAGATTAGATGCTGTTTCATCTTTTCATTCTTAGATTTACTCGGTTGCCTCGATGGTGTTTTCCATGTAAATGTTTCTAAGACATGAGATATTTTGAAGGGAAAAATACGGGCAAATTGTTTAACCTTTACTTCTTTCTAGGGCCATGGAATTGGGCAGAGAGTGTCTGAACCTCTGGGGGTAAGTAGAAATTGTGTTGCATTTTTTTTTTAAAGATTTATTTGTTATGTATACAGTGTTCATTCTGCCTGCATATTTTGCCTGCCCACCAGAAGAGGGCACCAGATCTCATTGCAGATGGTTGTGAGCCACCATGTGGTTGCTGGGAATTGAACTCAGGACCTCTGGAAGAGCAGTCAGTGCTTTTAACCTCTGAGCCATCTCTCCAGCCCCAAGTGTTGCATTTTTTGAGGGAGATTTAGTTGTAAGAGGTGCACGTCCCCTTCTCTGAGTATCCCCATGAGCCTGTGCCTCTGTGTCTAACACTGTGTCTCAACCGTGAAGCTGAGGTTGTAGTTCGTTCTCTCATGCTCCATAGCTATGAACGGGTGGATGAGATCATCTGGGTGAAGACTAATCAACTGCAGCGCATCATCAGGACAGGCCGCACAGGCCACTGGCTGAACCACGGAAAGGAACACTGCTTGGTGAGTAACAATAGGCCCAACTTAGGAGGAGGAACTATGTAAAAGTCCAAAAGCTATGGTTTATAAAGTAACAGTGTTCTCTGTGATGAGCAGGTTGGTGTCAAAGGAAATCCCCAAGGCTTCAACCAGGGTCTGGATTGTGATGTGATTGTAGCTGAGGTATGTGCTCCCCCAGTCATCTAAAGCTTTCATATTTTCAATACAATTTCTCTTGTCAGGTATAGTTTCCAACTTTTTATTCATTTGGATAACTTAACAGACAGGGCTAGAATTGCAATCTTGAGAAAAACTTTTTAAAAAAATTTATTTTTACTTCATGTGCATTGGTGTTTTGCCTGCATATAATTCTTTGTGAAGGTGTTGGATCCCTTGGAACTGGAGTCACAGATACTTCTGAGCTGCCATGTGGGTCCTGGGAGTTGAACCAGGGTCCTCTGGAAGAGCAGTCAGTGATCTTAACTGCTGAGCCATCTCTCCAGCCCTGCAATCTTGAATAACTTTAAGTAGCTTGGTTTTTATTTTCTAGGTTCGTTCCACCAGTCATAAACCAGATGAAATATATGGCATGATTGAGAGATTGTCCCCTGGGACCCGCAAGATTGAGTTATTTGGACGACCACACAATGTGCAACCCAACTGGTAACTTTACTAGAGAACAGGGCAAAACTTTATAGCTAAGGACAGAAGTCAATGAGTTGTACATATCCTGGTAGTCTACAGATAGGCTTTAAAGAGCTCAGATGCCAGATGGCTTAAGCTTATGTTTAAATCATTTTATTGGAATCTACAACATTCACTAGAATCCAAAGGGCTGGTCTCAAAGTTATAATAGCCTAAGGATCCTCACCTATTCTGTGGGATATATTAATGCCCCCTAGTGGCTACTAAGCATTTATTTAATCTGTCAATTTTAATGCTTTAACTCCTATGGCTGGCATTTTAATATCAAAAGATTATTCATTGGCAATGACTATGAATGAAATAGGCCTGGCTAACATCAGTTACTAATCCTTAGCTATATAGATCAAGCTGGATCCTGTGACATGAGTCTGAGGCAGAAGGATTATAAGCTTAAGGCTTCCCTAGGCTACATAACAAAATTAATTTAGTGAGAGCTGTATCAAAAGGGAGGGGGGCTGTTGACTGATGTAGCTCAGTGTTAGAGCATACATGCAAGACCCCTATATGAAATCCCCAGTACCACCACCACCACTACCAAAGAAATAAAAATGCAGACAGTTTTAATATCTGCACCTATATCAGCTCCTAAGTGATCAACTGCCATATACTTTATTCTGATCTTTTTAAAATCTGACATGGGCTGGGCATAGTGGAGCACACCTTTAGCCCCAGCAGAAGGCAGCAGGCAGATCTGTATGAGTTCAAGGTTAGTATGGTCTACATAGAGAGTTTCAGGACAGCCTGAGACCTAAAGAAACAAAACCTTAGCAGTGCTAAGCCCTTACAGGACTTTTTGGTTTGTCTCCTTTTCCCCTTGTTTTAGGATTACTCTCGGAAACCAACTGGATGGGATACACCTACTAGACCCAGATGTGGTTGCCCGGTTTAAGCAAAGGTATCCGGATGGTATCATCTCTAAACCTAAGAATTTATAGAAGCACTTCCTTATGAAGCTAACCATGCATAGCCATGGCTCTATTGACCACACCTTAAGAGTGTTTATATAGTAGTGCTCCCCACCCCGTATTTAAATAAAAGTTTGTATTGTAGTTAGAATTTCTGAAGTGAAATTCTGACTTTGCCACTCAGCATGTGTTCTTGTGCAACTCTTTTCTCAGTATAAGTCATGGAATGTTAGCTACCTACTTCATTAGCTGTAAATGTTCAAATTAAATGGATACATGGAATAGCATTAATATGTTGATCATTTTAAAACAGGACTATACAGGTTCACAGCGCTTAGCAATTAGTATACCATGAATAGGGTTAATTTGAATTTCACTTAGTTTTACCAGGCATATGTTTTGCTTATTCTATGTGGTTTTGCTGGTTTATTATTCTGTAGCTTATTTGTAAGAAAAATAGATCATCTTCAGTTAAAGAAGAACCTAGAATGTGAAAGGATTGGTTTATAAATCATGTAAATGAAAGCACATTTAAAAGATATTTCATCAAACACAACTTCTTTACTTTGTAAAACCTCTCATTAAGGGTATAGAGTTCTGCCTCTTACATGCAAAACTGGTAATCAAGTTAGGTAAAGAAAGTTTTGACTGCAGAAATACTTGTAGGGAAAAAATGATAGTCCTGAATGATGTCATTTCCCCTCCAGCCCAATGTGCTGAGAGAGAGGTGTGTGTGTCAGGAATGGGGAGGGGACCTTAAGACAGGATCTCACTATGTAACCCTAGCTAGCTTCAAACTCAGAGATCCAACCTGCCCCTACCTCCCAAGAGCTAGGATTAAAGGAGAGTGCCACCATACCCAGCCTTTGTTTTTTGAACAAGGTCTATGTAGGTTCAGATTGGCTTTTAACTCGTAGAAAACTCTCCTCTGTCCACCTCCAAAATACTGGGATTAAAGTCATGGGCCACCATGCTCTGCAAAACCTTTGTTCTACCTTTGCCTCATGTAGCCTAGCTTGGCCTCAAACTCACTGGTGGCCAGTTATGACCTTGAACTCCTGACCTTTCTGCCTGGGTACTGAACTCAGAGCTTTGTTAGTGCTAGGCCATAACCCTAGCCACACAAACCTTCGTTCTTAAAGCACTGTGTAGATTAATAGTAGTTCCCTTTTTAAAGGGTGTTTTCACTTTACCACTGAGCTGTAACCCCAAGCCTCCTATCTCAGTGCTGTTTCCTCCTAGGAGCAGAGCTAAGCACTTTCCCAATAACATTTTAGGCAAGGCCTCTGACAATTTTTGACACATTTCTTCAAATAACCCCCTATGATTTGTTTCCATATTCCCTTCACCCTTCCCTGTGCTATTAACCTGGTAATTTTGCTTGTAGTTAGAGTGAAAAGCAATTCCAAACGACAGTAAATTCACTGGCCTGCTAAAGAAAGAAAAGGTGGGGGTATGAAGGGCTGGGTGTAAAGGTCAGGCACTACCAGAAGAAGCCCAGCTTGTCTTTCAAAAACAGGCTTGTGTTTTGTCTCCTGGACTTGTGTCCGGCAGATAAATCTTCAAGGCTTGAAGAAGAAAGGCTACTTCACAAACACCACAGAATTTGGATTTCTAGAGGCTACCCAGGCCAAGAATACATCCCTAAGAGAAGGAAAGATAACACAAACTTATTATAGCCTGGAGATGAATATATATATATTCTTGAACTATCTTTTATCTTTTCAATAAAAAACATACCCAAATAATTCCCTATATCTCCAAAATATAACATTATCATCTTAGTAAATATAGGAACAAAGGAACCTAAAAGTCAGAAGTAGTGACAGTGCTGATCTATCTCTTAGCGGTCTGGGGCTAGAACACATGTGCTCTGTTTCCATGGATACAGGTAATTCCCTGGAATATTTTGGTAGAAGGGCAAAGCTTTCACTTGCTACTTGCCCCTTACCTATCCCTCACCAATTTCTTTGGCACTGGTAACTTAATCAGGCCCTTACTCATGCCAGGCCAGCTATCTTCAATTGAGCTACAGCCCATCCCTAAGCGACTGAACCAAGCTTTTTTTCTAGTAGCATCCCTAATCAGATATATCCATCTACCTATCTACCTAGGTCAAGCTGCTCTACCTAAGGTAATCTGATTATTTCCCAACAGTCCGCCTGACTACCACTTCAGTCTGCAGAACTACTGCGCTCACCTGCAGTGCTTCACCACACACTCACTGCTGCAGTACTCGTTGTCCCAGTCCTTACTGATAACAGGAGGGTTCTCACAACCAGACCTCACACATCGAGGCTGAGGTGACAGTGTTACAGGAGATCCGCTCACCAATTCAACATCCATCTGAGAAGGAGACTCCACCTTAGAACAGGGAGCAAACAAGGATGGATTAGAGTGCTACCTACCTAGTCAAAACATCTCACATTCCAGTAGAGAAATAGGTACCATACCCCTGCATAGAAGGAGTTTCAGAAAAAGGTAAGTTCTTGGTCTTCTCCTTTATAACCAAGCTTTAGAGTTCTGCTAAGCAGGATGACATGTAGATTCCAACTAAGAATTTTATTTTAAAGTAAGTTGTTATAAATTAAAACTGGCATGCAGAGGCAGGAGAATCAGATTCAAGGCTATCTTTGGCTACAGTGAGTCTATGTATGCTGCCTACATGAGACCGTATCTCAAACAAACAAAAAACTGGCAGAATTGGGTTTTTTTAAGGAAACAATACAGGCTTACCTCAGGAACTACATCCGTGATCATTTCACAGATTGTCTCAGGAGAGGTTGCCTCTGCTGGGTGGGCCTCAGGGCTGCAGTTCAGAGGCTGCTCAGGGCTGCTTTCTACAGCTGGAGGGATCAGGGCAGTCTGCATTTTCAGAGTGGGTGGAGGCACAACCTTGCTCTGCAGCGGTGGTGGCTGCTGTTGTAAATTGATTCTGACTTTCTGAGGTGGAGGCTGTTGCATGGCCTGAAGAGGAGGAGGCTGCTGCAGAATGGTGACTTGCTGTTGAGTTGGGGGCTGAGGCATCTGTTGCAATGGAGGAGGCTGTAGTCGGGGTGGAGGCAGTTGCATAGAAGCAGCAGCTGCTGCTGCTGCCTGCAACACTGACCGAGTGACAATCTGGGCCTGCTGGCTGGGCTGAATAGTAGCTGTACTTGTTTGGCCTAATTGGAGCCCACGGGAGGTAACCACTGTGGCTGGGATAACAGTAACCATTCCTCCTTGAGACATGGTAATAGAAGAGGGCAACATCTGTTTGGTAATAATCAACTTGGTAATATTGGGCTGACCTCCAGCCCCTGAGGCTGCCTGGTTTGTCACATAAGATGAGAGCGTGGAATTAACTACAATGCAAGGGGACAAAGCAGGCGACTCCGTTGAGGCTGGTGCTGGAGATGCAGGGTCAGCAGTAGTCACAGGAGGTGGTGAAGGAGTCTGCGACTGTGGGACAGGATCTAATTCCACTGTTTCCACAGTAGCCTAAAAGAAGACCAAAATAAAAAAGCAACAAGTAGTTTACTCTCCACTGCAGCACACATTCTTTCTCATTACATTTCAAGAAAAGATATGTAATAGATAGAAAAATAAATACTTTCTTAAGTAAACACTGAAAATAATGGATAAACTCAAAGACTACTTTGCAAGGCTTATGAAATACTTGGGAAGCCTTAAATCAATTTTAACATTATGTAATAATAGGTTCCACAGGGTTTTTTTTTTTTCATTTTTATGCGTATGTGTGTCTATCTGCACATACGTGCACAATATATGCATGCTTTGGGAGGTCAGAAGAGTGCACTGGATCTTCAGAAACTGGAGTTACACATGGTCCTAAGCCACCATGTCAGTGCTGGGAACTCAGGTCCTTTGCAAGTACAGCCAGTACTCTAACATGTGCCCCTCCATTTTTGAGAGGGTGTGTGTGTGTGTGTATATGAGAGAGATTTACCTATAACAAAATGAATTTTAAAAAATGAATTGGTTTGAGATACCCATTTGTTGTCATCTTACCTGACACTCCTGGTTGTCTTTATAAGCAGCTAGCGCCTTGAGATACTCTTTCTTAGCAGCTTCAGTTTTCCGCTTATACACCTATGAGAAAGACACTGTTTCAAATGAACCATACCCCTAGGAGAAACTGACAATCTATTATAGTCCATCAAGAACTCAGTCCAACCTCAGACCACTCCTTTCAGTGAAACCATTTTTGAGCAAGCAATAACGACAACCTTTATGGCAAATTCACTCTACTGTCTTACTAAGAGTATCTACACTTCTAAAGTGAATAGCAATCCATGTTCATTGCTGTATCAAAAACAAAACCACCTCCAAATTGTAAGGTCAGTAGTCTACATAGTGCTTAAAACATGAGAAGCTACATGAAGGAGCAACAACATACCAACTAAGAGATGGTAGTAGCTGCCAGCCACAGCCACCATAGCCTACCATATTGTTACAACAGTAAGAAATCCAGGCAAGAACAGCAGAAACACCAAACTAATCCATGAGGATGAGAATTAAAGCAGCAATAAGTAACTAAAATAAATTATAATAAATTCAGCCTTTTGTTTTAGATACCGAGGATTTGCTTTGACAGGCATGTGGGGTAATGATAGTTACAGCTATCTTCAGTTTACAGGTGATGATTAATATCCCTCCACCCACACTTCCTGCAGCACACACCTTCTTCAAGCTAGCCTTTGAAATCCATGATCCTCTGCCTCTACCTCCTAAGTGCTGGAAGTACATACCACTATTACCAATTGATTTTTTTTTTAAATTCAGTTTAAATTTAGGGAGATTAACTATGGTTTTTCAAGTTTACATTTCATGAGAAGACTGTTAATGAAACTGTACCTGAAGAGGGATAGTTTTAACATGCAACTTAACAAGAAAGAGCTTAACTTTACAAATAGGAAAATATGAGGCTTTAGGAAGTTTACCTAAAAACTAAACAGCTGAAGACACAGAGGGATTAGGCACTATTAGTGGATGTCATATGGAATGTTGAAATAAGGAAACTAGACTATCCTAACCTTATCATTTAGAAGCTGTATGACCTTAACTGGGCAGTGAACCTCAGAGTCCCATCTTTAGTTTTTTTGGGACAAGATTTCTCTGTGTAACCCTGGCTGTCCTGGAACTCACTTTGTAGACCAGGCTGGCCTTGAACTCACAGAGATCCACCTGCCTCTGCCTCCCCAGTGCTGGGAGTAAAGGCATGTACCACCACACCTGGTAGAGTCCATCTTTAGTAAAGAGAGGATGGTTATTTAACAGTTTAGGAAGGATGCAGTGTTTTTATAATGAATTTTTATCAATTGCATGTGTGTACATGTGTATGTTTCTGGAAATGTGTGTAGAGATTAGAGGTCAGCTTGTTCTTCCCTTCCACCATGAGGGATGTGGGGCTCAAACCCAATGAGCCATCTTGCAGTCCTACTTATAGTTTGGCAATGAATTTTCTGGGCTAGAGATTTAGCTCAGTAAGAAAGCATACATGTATAAAATAGGACAGCTGAGGCATATATAAAGCCTTGGGTTTGCTATCCAGTCACAAAAATAAATTAAAATGATTTTTTCTGTAACTTCTAAGATAAAGGATGTGCGACTGCCATTAACAAGTAAAGACCTGTGGTGGTGTGAGTAAGAATGGTCCCCATAGGTTCACATATTTGAGTGCTTAGTCATTAGGAGTGTCACTGTTTGAGAAGGATTAGGGGTGTGGCCTTGTTGGAGGGAGTGTCACTAGAGGTGGGCTTTGAGGTTTCAAAAGCCCAAGCCAGGCCCAGTATTGCCCTCTTTCTGCTGCCTGCAGATCTTGATGTAGAACTCTCAGCTACTTCTCCAGCACCATGTCTACCCATGTGCTGCCATGCTCCCCACCATGATGAATGGACTAAACCTCTGAAACTGTAAGCAAGCCCCAATTAAATGCTTTCCTTGTAAGAGTTTCTGTGGTCATGGTGTCTATTCACAGCAATAGAACACTAAGATTCTGTCCAATTAAAACCTTAGAAAATGTTTACTACCCACTATTCACCTGTTTTTGCTCTTCTCCAAGACTGTCCCACATGGAAGCCACTATCTTCGAAACCTCACCAAAGGTAGCATTGGGGTTCTGTCCCTTGATGGCAGCCTGAGTATCACGAAAGAATAATGCATATGCAGAGACTGGCTTCTGAGGTTCATTAGGGTCTTTCTTTTTTCTCTTCTTGGGAGCCTTTTGCTTTTTCCCTGTTTCTACCACCACTGTCTTCTGGCTGGGAAGTTGCTGTCAGGGAGAAAAACAGAATTAAGAGAGGGTTTGATAGGAACAAAACTAGGCAGGAGAGATGGCTCAGCAGGTAAGGAGGGAAAGCAGCCACAGCCATGGCATTTAAGCTAAAAACAGAAGCAATGGTTTGGAAACCACATGTGAGGATCACTAAGAACAGAGATTGAGGAGAGCATTGTAACAAAATGAAGAGGTAGGAACCCACACCCAGAACCAAGTAAAGATGATTAAGCTTTATATGACAAGCATTTTACCCTAGAATAGCAGTAGAATTAATTTTGGCAGGGAATGCCTCACCCTCCGGAAATCATCAACACCATCCTCATGAAGTGAATTGGTAGGTGAAGGAGTAGTTGAAAGACGATCCTCAGGTGACTGGGCAGGTGGCAAGATGGTGCTACCTCCTAAGCTCAAACCAAGTTGAGAACTCAGTTCTGACTGATCAATAGTGGTCAACTGGCTATGTCCCATTAAGCCAGATGTCATGTCTGTCATTGGTACATCAATTGTAACAGGTGGATTGGCACTATACTGAGTTCCTATAGAATGGTCCAGGTCCTGAGAGAAGCAGAAGGACTAATTAAAACACTAAACATTAAAATACCATGTCCCCCTCCTTATAAATCCCTGGCTTATATAGACTATCATCATTTAAATCCTACAGAACATCAGATAATTTGTCTACATAAAAAACATGTTGGGAGGCCAGACATGGTGGCACCTGCCCTTAATTCCAACACTCAGGAGATAAAAGGAAGGGGGTGAAATCTCTGTCAGTTTAAGGCCAGCCTGATCTCCTTATCTGAGTTCTAAATCAGTCAGGGCTTTATAGTGAGACCCTATCTCAAAAACAAACAGAAAAGGACAAATAATTCATTTAGTATAATCTGTGGGTAATGACAATATACAAGCTAAACCCACTAGTATCTCCCGGAATAATAGTATTTAAAGTTGTAATACACAGGCAATGAGAGCGGAGAAGCTGAAGTGGAGACAGATGCCTGTCATCAAACACATGAGATGGAGATGTGATACTAATGATATGCTTGGAAATGCTAAACACTTATAACATCTGAGTCTATAATTAGCACTTTATTTGGTTCAGCCCATTTTTTAAATAAATCACTCAAATATACATTTGAATTCCAGAATAGGAAAGCTATTACAAAAAACCCTTTTAAAAAATATGAATCATTTTCATTTCAAAATGTCCAAGTTAACATTGGCTATTTTACAACTTAAAATTATTTTTTAAGACAATCTCATTTATTCAGGTAAAATAAAGTTTTTGTTGTTGAGTCTTAAGCTTATATAAGAATAAGAAACCAGTACTAGCCATGTTTAATATGGACTAGAGATTAACTTTTGTCCTTCTAAACCCATTCCTATGAGCTTGGGTGAACCCGCCGTGTGTCACTCCTTACCATAGTCAAGCCCCCACTCAGGAGCCCCCCGCCCTGCTCCATCAAGCCATGGGTCATGCCCACAGGCATGTCCAATGTCTGAACTCCATACTGAGCTGCAAAGCTGCCATCCTGTGAAGAAGAGGGGTCTGCCAGGTCATCAAAGTGGCCGACCACATCTGAGACAGCCAAGGAGGGATCGGAATCCAAGGAGATAGGTGGGATTTCAAATTCCTCATCACCCAAGCTTGGTGTATGGAATGTCTGTATGGGAAAGGAGGAAAAATTAGTAAGAAGAGGAAAAACGGCATATCGCCTGTTCTAATAAGTCTTTAAACACAAGTAAATAAGGAAACAGCCGATGATGCTAAACATCCCACTACAGATACTAATATACACCAGTTATCTCACAATATTATACTTGAATTTTCAGACCACAAAAATGAACTGTTCACCAGCCAATCACACTTTGTTGTTTCGGGTTCCTCTGGATCAAATCCTAAAAAATATTGCCATAGAAAACTTACCTACCTCCTTTGCACTTAACGAGTTTCTTAAGGCATCTTAAGTATACATGGTGGCACACACCTTTAATCCCGGCACTCGGGAGGCAGAGGCAGTGGGATCTCTGTGAGTTCAAGGCCAGCTAGTCTATATAGCAAGTTCCAGGACAGCCAGAGCTACACAGAGAAACCCTGTCTCGAGAGAAAAAAAAAAAAAAAAATCCTCATGGTTTTCTGTTTTAGAAATTCCATTTTCCATTTTAGAAATTTCAGTGTTAGCAAATAAGATTCTCACTTGTATAGGATTTGGGGGCCCAAGAAAAAGGATAATAGCTACAAAGTAAATTTGAGGCTGGCCTCCTTACATAGCAAAGCTTGTCTAAAAAATAAAAAGTAAACAAAAGGAGAAAAGATTAGAGCACCTGGCTCAGTCATCCCCTCTTAAGTCTGATTAATAATAATCAGTCTTCTGGTCTGTTTTGGGTCTTTCCCCCCACTTTCTTTCCTTCCTTCAAGACCTAGTCTCAAATGGCAAGCCTCCTGGCCACTGTAATTAAAAGCGTGTACCAGCACACTCAACTTCACTCCTATTTGGAATGGGACCACTCACACAGAACTAACAGCAATGTCTAACTAAGGTGTGTCTGACAGTTTCCTTGTGGCACTAAAAACTAAAACAGAAGGATTTGTAGCAATAAAGTAATACAAGTAATAAGCAAGTGGCTTTGTAGTAGGCTCATCTATGGCTCATCTCAGCTCATGACCTTGGGCAGGTTTTCCTTATCTATAAAAACAGAGATTATAGCCTGGCACAGTGGTACACACTTGTAATCCCAGCATGCAAGAGACTGAGCCAGGAAGATTACCATGAGTATCAGACCAGGCTGGGCTATATAGTTAGTACCAGGCCATCTAGTAAAAGACCCTATCTCAAGAAAACAAAAATAAGCTGCATGTGGCAACATATACCTTTAATCCTAGCATTCCATAGGCAGAGAAAATTCACTCAGTCTAAACTGTTCCCAAGCTCTGGGCTTTTTAAAAAATTTTTTTTGAGGGAAAGATCAGTTTGGGGGTTATGTTTATAAGAAGGATGCTCAGGAGCTAGTGAGATGGCTCAGTGGGTAAATAAAGGTGCATGCTACCAAGTCTGACTAACAACTTGAGTTCAATCCCTGGGCTCCACACGGTAGAGAGAAAACCTATTCCCCACCACCAACCCCCTTTAGGGGGTACAAGCACATGAGAGAGAGAGAGAGAGAGAGAGAGAGAGAGAGAGAGAGAGAGAGAGAGAAAATGAGAATACACATAGTAAATAGATGTAATGCAATTAAAATATGGGGGGAGGGGCTGGAGAGATGGCTCTGAGGTTAAGAGCACTGACTGCTCTTCCAAAGGACTCAGGTTCAATTCTCAGCACCCACACGGCAGTTCACAACTGTCTGTAATTTCAGTTCCAGGGGATCTGACACCCTCACACAGACATGCATGCAGGCTAAACACCAATGAACAAAAAATAAATAAGAACCACTGACTTAAAAGCCAAACAATGCAACTGAAAAGAAAAATCTGATAGAACGAATTTTAGACAGGACCTCATTATGTAGTCCCAGCTGGTCTGGAACTTGGAGAACTGCCGCCTCTGCCTCCTGAGTGCTGGGATTGAAGTTGTGGTCAAACACAAAACACCATGTACCAGCCAACTCACTGAGAGAAATAGAAGACTGAATCCTCACATCACACAGCTTCCTACCTGAAGCAGTGCAATAATACTGCACCTTCCTCTCTGACACTCATTCTTTTAAATGGCAAATTTTTCATATACCTCGTGGCAATTTGGATGGACTCTTTGTTAACTGACGGTTTAAAACTTCTGTTCATTTTCAAACTGTATTAGTACTTGGTATATTCTAAATATGAGTTACATGTGTGTATTATAAATAGCTTCTCTTCTTGAGTTCCTATTTGTTAATGCTATCATTTTAAATTTTTTCAGAATTTCATAAATGAAATTCTGTACATGTATGTACAATGTATTTGTAAATACAAATTTCATACATGTATTTACAATTATGTCTTTTTGTTTTTTTGTTTTTCCCCCTCAAGACAAAGTTTCTCTGTGTAACAGTCCTGGAACTCATTTTGTAGACCAGGCTGGCCTTGAACTCACAGAGATCTGCCTGGCTCTGCCTCCCAAGTGCTGGGATTAAAGCCGTGCGCCATCACACCTTTTAAGATTTATATGTATGAGTATTTTGCCTGCATGTATGTATCAGCACCACATGCGTGCCTAGCGCTCACAGAGGCTAGAAAAGGAATCAGAACCCCTGGACCTGAAGTTATGGATGGTTGTGAGCCACCACATGTATGCTGGAAATTAAACCTGGGTCCTCTGCAAGAACAACAAATGCTTTAAATCTCTAAGACATCTCTCTAGCCTCAATGTCTTTAAAAAAAAACAACAACAACAACAACTTATTTTTACTTATATGTATGAATGTTTTGCTGGCATGTATGCCTGTGTTATTGTGTGTGCAGTGCCTATAGGCCAGAAGAGGGTGTGGAAACTAGAGTTACAGGCCCTTGTGACCTGTCCTGTGGGTGCTGGGAACTGAATCCAGGTCCTCTGCAACTGCAGTCAGTGCTCTTAACCACTGATTCATCTCTGCAGCCCTTATAGTGATGTCTTTTGATATAAAGAAGTTCCTAACTTGAACATAGTCTAATTTTCCAGTTATTTTATGGTTAGTATTCTATATAGACAGCTATTGTGGACTTTCTCAAGACCCTTCAGATTATAACATCACATAGCATTATGGGAACTGAAACAAAAAATAAACAAACAAAAACTTGAAAAAAGGGTTGCTTAAAAAAAAAGTCGGGCCGGGCGGTGGTGGCGCACGCCTTTAATCCCAGCACTCGGGAGGCAGAGCCAGGTGGATCTCTGTGAGTTCGAGGCCAGCCTGGGCTACCAAGCGAGTCCCAGGAAAGGCGCAAAGCTACACAGAGAAACCCTGTCTCGAAAAACGGGGGGGGGGGGGGGGGGGGAGTCACCCACTTTACGTTATCTGTGAGGTTCAAAATAAGACTGAAGACAACAAAACTCATACACCAATTAACATAAAGATTAAAAGCCAGGCATGGCAGTACACACACACTTTTAATCTCAGCACTCAGGGATCAGAGGCAGATGAAAGCCAGCCTGGTCATATAGCAAGTTTGCCTCCAGCCAAGACTGCATAGTGAAACTATCCCCCAAAAACAAAAACCATAAAGGTTAAAAATTCACCACCAAGAGGGGAAGAAATAAGGAGGTGTGAAGGTTGTAAATAACAGGCCAGGCAGTGTTTGCACACATCTTTAATCCCAGCACTCTGGAGGCAGAGGCAGGCAGATCTCCGTGAGTTCGAGGCCAGCCTGAACTACAGAATGAGTTCCAGGAAATGAGCAAAGCTACACAGAGAAACCCTGTCTCGAAACCCCCCCCCCCAAAAAAAAAGAATGGTCACTACTTCCAAGTGGAGGCTGCAGGTACAGTAGCAAAAAAAAAAAAATTTAGCTGTGTCCCCTCTTCTCACTAAAAATATCATAAGCCATAAAAAGGAAAAAGAAGGGCAGATGCAAGCCTGGAAACTTTTTTTTTCTGTCAGTTCTGGAAATCAAGGGTCTGGAATCTGCAGGCAAGAGCTCCATTACCATAGTCCCTGGATGTAAAAGGTGCCTTCTCTCATGGAACCACCTTTTCATTGTTCAACTTCATAAAAGGGGCTGGTGGGATAAATTTGAAAACTATTTGTATTTACTTTTTTTTTAGACCTCAAAACTAAAGGCCAGCCTGGTCTACATGGTGAGTTCCAGGACAGCCAGGGCTACTCAGAGAAACCCGTCTCAGAAAACATACAAAAAAACAACGCCCCTCCCCCCCCAAAAAAAAACTAGCAGCAGGGCGTTGTGGCATATGCCTTTAATCCCAGCACTCTGAAAGGGAAAGGTAGAGGCAGGCAGCTCTGTAAATTCAAGGACAGCCAGGGCTACATAGAGAGACTCTTAAAACAAAAACAAAAAACTAGCAACTACTCACTGTCAATCTCAACCATGAAAATGTTAGTATTTATTATAGGATAAACCCACAAAACAACAATCGACAACATTTGGTGCAAAAAAAAAAAAAAAAAAAAGAAAAAGAAATGCAAATGATTCACATCGCTGGGGGTGGGAGGGAGTATATAATCCTCAAAAGGAGGTCCAAGGTTCAAGTTCTCAAAAAAGGGAAATTAGCACACACTGCATCTTGTACTTTGGTTTTGCCTAAAGAAGTGTTATAGTAGTAAAATCTGTCAACCACGTTTTCTGGAATATCTTAGAGCAGTGGTTCTCAACCTTCCTAATGCTGCCACTCTTTAATACAGTTCCTCATGCTGTGGTGACCCCCCCACCACAAAATTATTTTATTGCTACTTTATAACTATAATTCTGCTACTGTTATGAATCATAATGTAAATATCTGACATGCGACTCCCAAGGGGTCGCGACCCGCGGGTTGAAAATCGCTGTCTTAGCCGGGCGGTGGTGGCGCACTTTAATGCCAGCACTTGGGAGGCAGAGCCAGGCGGATCTCTGTGAGTTCCAGGACAGGCTCCAAAGCTACACAGAGAAACCCTGTCTCGAAAAACCAAAAAAAAAAAAAGGAAAAAGAAAAGAAAATCGCTGTCTTACAGGCTCCAACAACCATTGTTTCTACTTCACACCATATTTAAAAAGCAAAACAAAACTAACAAACCCTATTGTTATAGTTTTTTGACAACTGTGATCCAAAAGTGAAGTCATCTGGTCAAAGTTTATAATCACTGGCAAACAGGTGTACTCCACTCCTTTTATGTTCTCTAGCAGCCATTTCCTTCCTCTGTCCTTCCTTAGCAAAGCAAGCAGAAACCACGTTGGTAAAATTAACCACTTCTATCAGAAATTTCAAAGAATTAACACCTGTCCGAGGTTAACCCTTGCTAGATAAACGACTTTCTTATCTCGATTTCTTTACTGAAAAAAAAAACAAAACAAAACAACTTCTTCCTTGCTATCTTGTTGCAACTATTTCACCCTGATCAATGCAGACAACCCCTTCGTTCTCCACACTCAGAACCGGACTCCTTCCTTAAACAGGCAGTCTCCTCAACATCCTGGTTTTCGGATGACAGCGGCTTCCCGACCGTCAGTCCTCAGAGGCTCTCGAAGCCTCGGCCACTGTCCTCCCCAGCTCCCGTCCGCCCCCGCGCTCTCCCCCACCGTCCTGCCCCAACCGCTGCCTGGGCCCTCCCGCGCCCCAGCGTCGGCAGCTTTTGCTCACCTCGGCCCCCGACAGGAAGGGATGCGAGGGCCCAGTGATCGTCAGGTAATTGTCATTTCCTCCGGGAAACTGTAAACCAAAAAAAGCCACGGGGATAAGTGAGGGGAGCAGGGGTGCGCTGAAACCCCGGCGGCCCCCAGCACTCCCGAGCCCCCCTCGCTCCTCCCTGGCCCGGCTTCCAGTTTCTGCTTCCACCTAGTCGGCCGCGCTGCTCGCCAACCCTCCAGACCCAGCGCCTACCTCCATCTTCACAGCACCCCTACCAGCCTCTCCGCGTCCGCATCGCTCCCACCGGCCCCACTGGGTTCCGAACGCGTCACTTCCTCAAGGAGGAGCGTCGCTCTCCGCTGATTGGACGGGGTCCTGGCCGAACGAGTCGCGATCCGAGCTGCCCGAAGGCTCGCTGTCGCCCCCTGGAGCTTGGTGGGATGATGGCATGTAGAAGAGCGCGGGGCGGCCCTAGAGGCGGCGTCGGGTACTCAGGATCCAGCGAGAATTTCTGGGGAGAGCAATAGAGACGCGGCCTGAGCTAGAAGGGCTGGAGCGGAGGCAAATAAGGAGATCGGTAGTTTGGGTGGCTAGAGAGGTCGGAGGTACGTGGCTGTAGAAATCAAGCGGACCCGGAACACAGGCGCCTCGGGACCATGACTTATGCTTATCTCTTCAAGTACATCATCATCGGAGACACAGGTAAGCCGCCGGTGGACCGCCTGCGGGGCTGGGGCGGGGATCCCACCTCCAAAATCGGGCCTGGGGGCGGGGCGGGGCGAGTGGGCCGGGCGAGCGGAGTTGAGCGGAGGGGGCGGGGCGAGCTCCGGGGGCGGGGCTCTGTTCTTCCCGTGCACCCTGTGCCCCGCCGGGGAGCCCGCGGCTTCCCGGGTGGCGTGTCTAGTGCACACCGTCCTTTTTCAGGTGTGGGGAAGTCATGTCTCCTCCTGCAGTTCACCGATAAGCGGTTCCAGCCTGTGCACGACCTCACAATAGGTAAGCACACCCCCTCGTTCTAGAACAGATAAAAAGCTGGCAGGCTGAACTGCTGAAGGAGAAAGTTAACAGTCTCAGTATTCTAAGTAAAAAGTTACGCCTCCCCACCTTAGTCCGATTCCATGGTATATGAAAAAATGATAAAAGCTGGTTAAATAGAGGGTAAATATTTGAAAGGTAACTTTAGAGATGGATGTGAGAGAAACGCTAGTTGCCATAGGAATTTTTTCTTCAAATGCAACTTGTATGTTTATGGAAAATCCCACGGAAACACAACCGCGTACTCAAAAACTCATCTGTAGTTTGTGGTTCACTACCAACCTCACATGTTTTTCGAAGTAAACACCGACATACGATTCTTTTTGTGTTGGAGAGGAAAAAGCCAATTTCAGAGCCACCCCAGTCCTTCCTCCTCCTCTTCCTCCTCTTCACTTCTCATTCTCTTCCTTTTTGAGACGAGTTCTGGCTATGTAGTCCAGGCTAGCCTCAGATTCACTCTGTAATCCACACTGGCCATGAATTCGCAGAGATCCTCCTTCCTCAACCTCCAAGTGCTGTGATTACAGCCATACACCAGACTGGCTTTGAACTCCATGTGTAACCTGAAGACATCTTGATCTTACTGCCTCCACCACAGAGGAAAACTCCAGCTACATCCACCTCCTAAATGCTGAGATTAGATGTGCTCAGCCTGGTTGTTTTTTTTATTTTGTTGTTCTTGTTTTAGTTTCTTGCTCATTGAATTTACATTCTTAACTGTTCTGAAAGAAAGAAAAAAATTAACAGTGAGGTTTTTTTTTCTCCCAAAAAGTACCATTTGACTTTTGTTGAGGTAACAGGTGGAAGTAATTTTATATCTTTCTTATAGACTGTAGCACCTTAAAGCAGAAATAATCTATATATAGAGAGGATATCTACATAGAATGACTGAATTGGTATTATAGCATTCCTGAAGGTAAACTAAATTTAATAATCTTGAAAATCTGAGTTCCTTGTGCTATGTCCAAACTACTGCATGAAAATAGAAAGGGAATTGTCTGACTTACAATGCAATGTTTGTAACATGACTGTTTTTGAAATATTGCCCTTGAGATGAATTTTGCCTTGAAATAGAAGAATGCCAAAAGCCTTATCAGTTTGCTAGTTTCCATACTGCTTTGAGAGAGGATATTTCTGGTGAACTCTGGGAATTACTGGTGGTTGAAGATATTTTGTCCTTGAAGACCTGTTTCTTAGGCAGTTTTCTTTCTTCTTTCCTCCCTTCCTTCCTTTCTTTTTTCTTTCTTTCTTTTCTTTTCTTTTTTTTGTGTTTTTTTTTAAGACTAGATTTCTCTTTGAGGTCCCAGAACTTGCCCTGTAGACCAGACTGTCCTTGAACTCACAGAGATCCTGCCTCTAGGCAACTTTCTTAATTGCAAATGAAAATAATTTCAGAATTGCAGTAAAGAAGTGCTGCTTCATCACAGAACTATGAAGACACTGTCAAATTCTTTCCAGGGTCTGGAGAGATGACTCAGCACTTAAGAACACTGGCTGCTCTTCCAGAGGACCAGAGTTCAGTTGCCATCACCTGCATGGCAGCTCATAACCATCTGTCACTCTAGTCCCAGAGGACCCACTGCCCTCTTGTGGTCTCCACGAGTACTAAGCACACATACAGCATATATACTTACATGCAGGCAAAACACTTATACGAATAAAAATTTAAAAGCCTGAAAAAGAAAAAAAAAGAAAGAAATGCTTTCAGTTTAGAAAATTTAGAATTAGAATTTAGTTGAGAAATTACAGAATTAAATATTATCTAGTCAGATTTTAATATAAGCTACCATTCCTAGGAATTTATCCACTTCTTGGGGGCACAACCATTTATAATGAGATGTACCTGCATGCATGTCTCTGTGAGGGTGTCCAGTCCTCTGGAACTGGAGTTTCAGACAGTTGTGAACTGCACATGGGTGCAAAGAATTGAGTCCCAGTCCCCTGAAAGAGCAGCCAGTGCTCTTCACCGCTGAGCCGTCTCTCCAGCCTCAAATCAACCTTTAAAAAAAAAAAAGGAAGAAAAAAAATTTATCTACTCTTAGTTTTATTTTTCCTAGAGTTGTAAATTTTTTAGATTTTTTTCTATGAATTGTAGCTTTACAGCTTTACAATTCATTTAATGGGAACTGGTTATCACAAAACTTTGTACAGTGGCTACACATTCTCTCTTGTTTTTCAACGAGATGGGGTTTTTCTGTGTAGCCCTAGCCGTCCTGGAACTTGCTTTGTAGTGGGTACAGGTTCTTCAGACATTAGTTGTAAATTGTTACAGTAACTGCTCTGGGTTTTTTGTTTGTTTGTTTGTTTGTTACTTTTTTTTGTTTTTTGAAACAGAGTTTCTCTGTGTAGCCCTGGCTTTCCTGCTCTGTAGACCAGTCTGGCCTCAGTGCTGGGATTATAGGCATGTGCCACCATCTGTCACTTTTCTTAAAGACTAACAAAAGATAATCTAAAATCTTAGTCATTGTAAGGTCTTATAATAAATCAATTGTCTAATTGATTTGTCTAATAAACCAAGCCTGGTTTATTACCAGAATTTGTAGAACTAGCCCTGGGGACACATACGTGGTCTTTTTTTCCTCTTTCAGATTTTTTTTTTTTTTTAGTTTTTATTTGTATGTATATGCCTGTCTATTTGAACATGTGTGTACAAGTGTCTGCAGGGTCCAGAAATTGTTGAGTGCCCTGGAGCTGGAGTTACAGGTGGTTGTGAGCTACCAGACATGGGTGTTGGGAACCAAACTGGTCGTCTCTATGAGCAACAAGTGCTCTTAACCACTGAGTCATATCTCCAACCCCCAGGGTCTTTTTTTTTTTTTTTTAAAGATTTACTTATTTATTTTATATGCATTGGTGTTTTGCCTGCATGTGTGTCTGTGTGAGGGTGTCGGATCCCCTGGAAGTGGAGTTACAGACAGTTGTGAGCTGGGAGTTGAACCCGGGTCATCTGAAACAGCAGCCAGTGCTCTTAACCATTGACCTATCTCTCCAGCCCTGCTCACCCCCCAGGGTTTTATTTTTATTTTTTTAATTAATTAATTTGTTTATTATGTATACAGTGTTCCGTCTGAATATATGCCTGCAGGCCAGAAGAGGGCGCCAGATCTCATTACAGATGGTTGTGAGCCACCATGTGGTTGCTGGGAATTGAATTCAGGACCTCTGGAAGAGCCTCTAATACTCTTAGCCAGTGAGCCATCTCTCCAGCCACCCCCGCCCCCCAGGGTTTTAATAGAGTAAATTTTGTCCTGATTTTAAAATCAGAACAGTGAGAATATTTTTATTTATTTGATTTTAATTAGCTTTATTCCCTTATCTACATTTGGATATATTATCACTTAGAATCCACTTATTTATTTTTGGTGCAAGGGATTAAACCAAGAGACTTGTGTCTTTTGCAGTTGCACTATCGCAGAGTTATATATCCAGCGGTAGGATATGATTTTTATTTGACCTGTGTGGCCTCAGGTCAGCCTTGCATTGGCTATATAAAAAGTGATGGTGACCTTTCACTTCTGAGCCTCATGCTCCTGCCTCCACCTCTCGAGAGCTGGGATCACAGGCGTGCACTGTCATGCCCAGTGAAGGGGTTTTGCGGGGAGTGTGTGTGTACACCGTGCGCAAGTTCAAGTGAGCATGCAGATGTCCATGAGTTACAGGCAGTTATAAGCTATCTGATGAGGGTGTTGGAAACCAAATTCTGGTCCTCTACAAGAGCAGCACATGCTTTGCCTTTACTGCTGAGCCATCTCTCCAACCCCATGCTCAATTTTATTTGGCTCTAGGAATTGAATCCAGGGCCTCATGTATGCTAGGCAAGTACTTTATCAAGTGAGCTACAGCCCCCAGTCCATGGGTTTTTAATTCTAGGAAAGAAACCAAAAGGAGCACAAATTTAATTGAGCCATAAGCAGCAGTAATGAACTGAATGTCAGTGAGTGATGACAAAGGATTCATTATAACACTTTGGGGAAAAGTATGAGCCTCCAGATCAACATGTATGTGTTCGTGACAGTCACATCCATTCTCTTGGCCTTCACTGACAGGTGTGGAGTTTGGAGCCCGGATGGTCAACATTGATGGGAAACAAATCAAACTGCAAATCTGGGATACGGTAAGAGAGGGCAAAATGGTTTCACACCAGACCAAAACCCAGTTATAACAATGAAAGCTAATGTAGCCGTGTGTAGATGAGGCAAGAAGCGGAAGAAAGGTCAAGCCAGGAGGGGTTACATACTGAGATACTCAGGTCAAAAAAAGTCATACCTTTTTATTTTAAATGACTCAGTTTTGTGGGGCAGTGGTGGTGCGTGCATTTAATCCCAAATGGCAGAGGCAGGTGGATCTCTGTGAATTCGAGGCCAGCCTCGTCTACAGAGCAAGTTCCAGGACAGCCAGGGCTACACAGAGAAACCCTGTCTTGAAAAACCAATTCACCCCCGCAAAAAAAAAAAAAAAAAAAAGAGAGAGAGAGAGACTCAACTAATATAGCAAAAATAAATAAATAAATGAAAATAAACGTAGCAAAAAGTGAATGTCCCTTTATATCAGACCCTTTTCTATCTCACATTGTTGTCATTCTGCCAGAGGAGTGCAGTGTTAATGATCCAGTGTATATGATTTCAGACCATTTAAACTATAAATAATAGACATTTTGTGTTGGAGGCCAGACCGACCTACATAATGAGTTCTCGGCCAGCCAGGTACAGAGCGGGACCTGTCTAAATAAAACAAATAAATACATATAAATAAGTAAGTACAAGGATATGGTGGAGGTTTTTTTTGAAGACTTTTAAAAACTTCTTTAGTGTATGTGTGTGTGTGTGTGTGTGTGTGTGTGTGTGTGTGTGTGTGTGTGTGTGGCAGTGTGTGGCAGTGTGTGCATGCAACCTGGTGCGTGTGGGAATGACACGACTGTTTTGTGCAGAGCTTCTCTTCCACCTTCTCAGGGGCTCCAGGGACCAAACTCGAGTTGTCAGGCTTGCATGCCAAGAGCTTCGCCCGCCGAGCCATCTCACCAGCCCGAGATGTTGGTTTGCGTTGGTCTTTACGTGTAGAGGAGTGTGACAAGAGCAGGCAGAGCTGTGCTTTTTGTACAGTGGTTTCCATAATTCCCCAGACTCTTCCATATCAGTAAATACAGGTCTGCCTCACTTCTTTTCACAGTTGCATAGTCACAGAAGTGTGTATGCACTGATGGGTGTTTCGGTTGTTTCTCGTTTTCAACCATTGCATAGCTTCATTTAAACGTTCTTATTTATTACAATTTTAGGCAAATATTTGAGAATTTCTGTGGGCTGTCTTCCCAGAAATGAAATTTCTAAGGCAAAAGTTGCTTATATTTTAAAATGTAGTCAATGAAGTTTTATCAAAGTTTGACTTGATTTAACATAATTTTGCCTTAATTTAGAGAAATTACTTTTGTGTTCAATATTTCACTTATGCTATTCTTTCCCCAAAGGAAAATATTGTAGTCTCTATTCTAGTTAAAGAGAACTAGAAAATAGTTCATAATATTTAGCTAAAATCTCTTCTTGTTTTTGTTTAGTTCTCATTATTTGATCATTTTTTCTCAGCACTAAGAGCCAAAACCATCATATCTACAAGGCATGCACAGGTTATTTTCACTTTCTCTTTTTCTCCTATTTTATTCTTTCTTCTCTGTTGCAACTCCTGCCAACCTGATCACATCCAGCTGTCCCTGGGCCACTTGGGGCAGAGCCCTTTTCTAGCAGTCTTCCAATTTATTGCTACTTTTGGATGCATTATTAATCAGGTGCTTTAAACTTCGTATTCTGTATGTCTGTTGGCTGTTTCCTTTGATTGGAGGTTGTATTTCCTTCTGATCAGATTTTTTTTTTTTTTTTTTGGTTTTTCGAGACAGGGTTTCTCTGTGTAGCTTTGCGCCTTTCCTGGAACTCACTTGGTAGTCCAGGCTGGCCTCGAACTCACAGAGATCCGCCTGGCTCTGCCTCCCGAGTGCTGGGATTAAAGGCGTGCGCCACCACCGCCCGGCTCTGATCAGATTTTTTATCTCACCCTTTTGGGTTGCCCTAATTGTAAGACTATGAATCACTTCATCTCTTTTAACAATGCCTAACTCCAGACGGGTAGCTATGACTTTAAGACTTGCCTGGTTTGGCCAGTGTTTGTTTTTAACACCCTACCCCCATAAAGCCTAAGAAATGTTACTTTATTGTCCAGGTTCACTCCCTGTGTTTCAGGCAGTTGCCACATACTCCCTTCTTTCACTGTTTTGAGTTCATTGTCATTATTTACCCCAACTAGATATTGCAATTCAGGTTTTATTATCTTTTAATTTTTATATTTCCAATAACAGGAATCCCCCCCCCCCATACACAAGAGGTCAAGATATAAATTCTTACAAACTAGCAAAGGGTGAAGCCAGTGGGTATAAAGACCAGTATAAGTTAACTTCTACCTCTTTGACTTAAATCAGTGTCATTTAATTTTTTCTTTTTAAAGACAGGACTTCAGATAACCCAGGTAGCTATGTAGCTAAGGATGACCTTGACTCCTTATCCTCCTGCCTCCAATCCCAAATCTTGGGATTACAGATGTGTGCTGCCATATCTGTATTTAAAAAACAAATAGATGTTTTAGTGCCAAGAATAAAATCTAGCAGATGCCAGTTTGTCATATGGTCAGGGCCATGTGCTTGCCTTGGCCTTGAACTCTCATAGATCCACCTGCCTCTGCCTCCCTAAAGGGCTTTTTTTTTTTTTTTTTTTTTTTTTTTTTCTTAAATGCTGACATGAGAAATGGTTGGGTCATGAAGAAAGTTTAGAGCCACAATTGTATGTTATGTGGATGGGATCTTTAAGAACTATATGGCAGGGCTGGAGAGATGGCTCAGTGGTTAAGGACAAGAGTTTAATTCCAAAGGACAAGGGTTTAATTCCCAGCACTCGCATGGCAGCTCACAACTGTCTGTAACTGTAGTTCCAGGGGATCTGGCACACTCAAATAGACATCTATGCAGGCAAAACACTAATACACATAAAATAAAAAGAAATAAATCATTGAAAATAAAAAAAAAAAAAAGAATTGCATGACAAGCTTGGCATGGTGATGCATGCCATTCCACACTCAGGAGACAGAGGTAGGTGGGTTCCTGAAAATTCAAGGCCAGCATGGTCTACATAGAGTTCCAACTAACCAACACAGTGAGATAAAAAAACAAAAATAAGAACAAAAAACCCCAACAACAAAACAAAACAAAAGCCAGCATTGGACTTATGGCTGATATTTCAAATTCTATATCTTGCCTCACTTGGGAGAAATTAAAAAGCTGTAGATTCTCTTCATCAAAGATCCACTTTCCACTTGATGTGATAGCTTACCTACACCTATGTCTTAATTATTGTTCTATTGCTGTGAGAAGACATCATGACCAAGACATTTCTTTTAAAGAAAGTATTTAGTTGGGGGCTTGCTCACAGTTGTGGAGGGTTATTCAATGATCATCATAGTGGAGAGCAAAGAGGCCAGGCACTGGAGTAGTAGCTGAGAGCTTTACATCCTTATCTGCAGGCATCCGTCAGAGGGAGAAACACTGAGCTTGGCCTGGGCTTTTGAAACCTCAAAGCCCACCCCCAGTGACACACCTCCTTCAAGAAGGCCATGCCTCCTAATCCTTCCCAAGCAGTTCTACTAACTGGGGACCAAACATTCAAGCATAGGAGCCTATGGGGGCCATTCTCATTCAAACAAGCACCTTGAATTCAAGGCTTGCTGAGCTACATCATGAGTTGTAGGCTAGTCAAGGCTACAGAGTGAGACTCAGTTTCACAAAATAAAACCCAGAACAAGAAAACTCCATGTTAGTTGTTTGCTGCTTCAGCCGTTTTTTAGCTGAGCATGGACAAGGATATTTGAAACTGATACAGACCCACCTAAGTTGAACTACATAGTCTTTCCAGCATCCTGGCTCCAAAGTTGCTGAACTTGACTGAGATGAAAAGTAGGGGTTTGATGTTAAGAAGTTTCCTGGTTGTCCACGGGAAGTCAGACTATAACTGTCTTCTTTCTCTGTGTCATTCACTCCTCCACCCACCTTGCTGTTTTGAAGCAGGCTCTCACTGTGGAGCTTAGGCTGGGTAGGCATTCTCGTTTTTCCTCTCTCCTCCTCCTATGTGTGTGCCAGCTCCCCTGTAAGGAATAAGGAGGAAGATTTTCAAGTAGAGTAGAAGAAAACAAGAGGTAAGAGAAGAGCCGAGCGTGCTGGTGCACGCCTTTAATTCCAGCACTTGGGAGGCAGAGCCAGGCAGATCTTTGTGAGTTTGAGGTCAGCCTAAGCTACAAAGTAAGTTATGGGACAGTCAAGGCTATATTTATACAGAGAAATCCTGTCTTGAAAAACAAAAAAACAAAAACAAAAACAAAAAAACAACAAAAAAGAGCAAAACAGGACCCCAAAAGAGCTAGGGCATACTATGACAGAATAAATAAATAAATATAAAATTCTGCGGAATTACTAGTAAAAAGCTAAGGAATTGTATGATGCTTACAGAGGTTGTGATCTGAGGAGACAATCACTATAAGTTAGCAGACTCTCTCTTCTCACCCAATTTAGATTGTAATGCTTCTGTACTCTGGAGTGCTACTGCTCTGTGTTTATATTACAGCACTGCTGTGTGGTTTTTGGCCCGTTCTTTAACTTGCCCCTCTGAGCTTTATTTTCCCTATTTTCAAAGGAGAATAATGGCAGTCTGCTTTAGGGGTACTAGGAGAATTATATGAGATGACGTATGTGGTTGTCTCTTATGGTTTCTGATACACTGCTAGGCAAAAAAAAAAAAAAGTTTAAAATGTTATTGTAGGGGCTGGAGAGATGATTCAGTGGTAAGAGCACTTGTTGCTCTTGCAAAGGACTTGGGTTCAATTCCCAGGACCATATGGTAGCTCATAACCATCCATTGCTTCAGGTCCAGGGGATCTAGTGCCTTCTTCTGACCACCATAGGTACCAGACAGGCACATGGTGTACATACATACATGCAGGCAAAACACTCATACACATAAAATTAAATAAATTTCAAAGAAAAACTTTAATGTTATTGTAGTATCACTACTATTACCAGTTGGTGTTATACCATAAAAACCCATTTATGTTCCCATGTTTCCATCATAGTTTTCTAGTGATAGAATATGGATAATAACTCTTATTTCCTGGGTTTTATAAGGAGAAATTATTCCAAAAATGTGAAAACTTTTCTAACAGGATTGATTCAACACAACAGATATTTTGTGTAGTTGGTTTGTTTTGTTTTTTGAGACAGGGTCTTACTGTGTAGTCCAGTCTGGCCTCATACTCAGGGTTCTTTTGCTTCAGTCTCCTGAGTCCTAAGATACAGGATGAGTACTAATGTTAGAAGCAGATACCAGCACACCAGGCTGCTTCTATTTATGGGTGTATATGAGCACATATGTGTTATGTGCTCACACAGGCCAGAAAGGGGTACTGGATCCTTTGGAACTGGAGTTACAGGTGTTTGTGAGCTGCTCAGTGTGGGTTCTGGGGTCTGAACTTCCATCCTCTTACAGAGCAGTAAGCACTCTTAATCACTGAGCCATCTCACCAGCCCAGTGTTTTTATTCAAAGTCAAATAAAGGAACTATTAGGTTAAGAAAGCAAAAGTATCTAGAGTGTGGGAGGAATTAATTGCTCAGTTATGAATAAGGCAATATTTTGGTCCCATCAGAAATGAGATAAGATTGTGAACAGGATTCTTTTTGTTTGTTTGTGTTTTTCAAGACAGGGTTTTTCTCTGTGTAGCCCTGGCTGTCCTGGAACCTGCTCTGTAGACCAGGCTGGCCTTGAACTCACAAAGATCCACCTGCTTCTGCCTCCAAGTGCTGGAATTAAAGGCATGTGCCACCACCACCCAGCTGGCTGAACAAGATTCTTTGAAGGAAAACTGTCCTAGGTCCTGGACATCATTCTCTAATCCTTATTCCTATTTTCTACCACAGAATCTTAGCAAAGAACTTCCCGGTAGTCTGGCTGTTATGAGGGAAACCGAAGGGCTACTTAGCATAAACTCAGTTGCTCATATCTGACTTTCTGCATTGTTGCATTGGTATATGCCTCCCATTGGGCAGGGTGTTGACATTCTAAGGTAATTTTCCTTTTTTACAGATAAGTTAATAAGAACAGAAAAAGTAAAGTAGCGTGTTCAACATCACATTTGGGATTGAGTCTCCAGCCCTATTTCCAGTTTTACTGTAGGGGATATTGGGAAACATATATGAAGGTTGTTGGTGTCATGCTATTGGCATTGAGTTCTGAGGCCTAAGGATTAGAATACCTTGTAGTTTGATGGACAGTCTCACAAGGAGTAGTAACTGACCTACCTGAAATCTCAATCACACTTTTATTGAAAAATAGCTCACCTGTGCTCCTGCCTGGACAGGCACATTTCTTTTCCCTAATTTATTATTATTTTTAATCTAGCACAGATTCTTTCTTTAGTTAAATTCTTTGTTTTAGGGTGGCATGTGAGCAAGTCACTTTCTCTGGAAATAACCTAGTTTTACTGGGATTTTTTGTTGCCATGTTGATGGTAAAGGCTGGGCAAGAGTCCTTCCGTTCTATCACCCGTTCCTACTACAGGGGAGCAGCTGGAGCACTGCTGGTGTATGACATCACAAGGTGAGTGAGCCGGCTGGAGTAGGATTGGGGGGGCTTGCCTGAATTCCCTGAAGCTGTCCTCTGTCCCTGGCTTCTACCAAAGACTCGGGGTCGGCATGGCTGCTTTTTTGCACACATGTAACTTCCCTTCTCATGAATTCGGAGCAACTTTGGCTTTTTGAAACAGGCTCCTGACCACCATTCTAAATTGTTCTGCTGTAGACGTGAAACCTTCAACCACCTGACCTCATGGTTAGAGGATGCCCGCCAGCACTCGAGCTCGAACATGGTGATAATGCTGATTGGAAATAAGAGGTAAAAATTTTATCTTACAAATACTAGTTACCAGGAGGATCAAACTTCCTCTATGGATATTGGATTTCTTTGTGTTCTGTTTTGTTTTGTTTTGATTTAGAGACAGGGTCTCTCTGAAGTAGCACTGGATGGCCTAGAACTCACTTGGTAGCCCAGACTAGCCTAAAACCCTCCTGCCTTTACCTCTCAAAGGCTGGGACTGTAGGCATGTGCCATCTGACATTGAATTTCTTGATACCCAGACTTTCTTAATATATCATCTTAGTAAGACAATGTTGGCCGGGCGGTGGTGGCGCACGCCTTTAATCCCAGCACTTGGGAGGCAGAGCCAGGCGGATCTCTGTGAGTTCGAGGACAGCCTGGGCTACCAAGTGAGTTCCAGGAAAGGCGCAAAGCTACACAGAGAAACCCTGTCTCGAAAAACCAAAAAAAAAAAAAAAAGACAATGTTACTGTGGTAAGATATACATGAATTTACCATTTTAACTACTTCTAGGAGTATTCTGTAGTCCTAAACATATTAGAATTGTTCTGCGAACCTCACCATTATCCAGCTTCAAGACTGTCATTTTCTCAGACTTTGGAACCACTGAATTCTGCCACCTGCCTTGCCCTGAGTGGTTTCCTCACCGTCTGGCAACCACCATTCTACATTTTGCTGGTGTTGTTGTTGTTGAAGAAACGGGGCCTGTGTTGCTTAGGCTGGCCTCAGTCTCACTCGATAGCCTAGACCTGACTGCTGGGGTTACAGGAGTGTGCCATCACACCGACCCTCTGCATTCTTTCTTTATAAATACAAGTACTTGGGATGGAGATGCATGATGTGCAAGACAGAAACAATAAATAAATACATACATACAAGTACTCTGGGCAACTCATAAATAGAATTGCATAATACTTGTGCTTTTTTAAATTTTTTAATTTATTTATTTATTTTTTTTAAATTTGTTTTTGTTTTTGGTGTTTCTAGACTGGGTTTCTCTGTGTAGCTTTGCGCCTTTCCTGGAACTCACTTGGTAGCCCAGGCTGGCCTCGAACTCATAGAGATCCTCCTGGCTCTGCCTCCCGAGTGCTGGGATTAAAGGCGTGCACCACCACCACCACCACCACCACCACCACCACTTGGACAATACTTGTGCTTTTATAAGTGGCTTATTTTATCTAGCATAATGTCCTCAAGTGCTGTCCATATTTTAGCATGTTTCAGAACTTCCTTTTTCAGGAGTGTAGTATTTATTATTGCCACATTTCATTTACTATCTTTCTGCGGACACTTGGGCTGCTGCCACTTTTGGGCTATGGTGACTGATGTTGTCATGAACATGGGAAAAAGATGTATCTTTTCAAATTCCTACTTTGAGTTCTTTTGGCTACATAACCAGTAAGATTGCTGAATCATATGGTATTTCTGTGTTAATATTTGAGGAACTACCACTATAACAGCACCATTTTGCATTCCTACCAGCAATTCACAAGGGTTCTAATTTACATTTTTTGGCGAGACTTTGTATTCCCAGTTTAAATTTTTAAAAAATTTAAAAATTTTTTAGTTTTAAAATACAGTTAAAAAAAATTGTATCCATAGGCCAAAAGAAATACCTGGCTGAGTTAGATCTAAGCCAGGTGTAATGGTCCATATCTATTTGCACTGTGAGACAGAGGCAGGAAATTCACAAGTTTGGGACCAGTCTGGGCTATATAGCAAGTTCTAGGCCAGCCTGACCTTTATATCATAATCCTGTCTCAAAAATTAGATCAGGGTCAGTGAGATGGTTTGGTGGGTGGAGGTGCCTGCCACCAACCATGACAACCTGAGTTCAGTTCCTGGGCCCCATATGGTAAAATTAGATTCCTGACTGCTGTGGGTTGTTCTGTTGCTTTCATGTGTACACAGTTTGAGTGTACACACATACAGACATACAAACACATAAATAAATTGATAAATTAATAAATAAATGTAGTAAAAAAAAATCAAAGCCAGACAACAATAGAGTACACCTTTAATTCCAGGAGGCACAGGCAGGCACGGATCTCTGAGTTCGAGGCCGGCCTGGTCTACAGAGTTAAGTTCCAGGACAGCCAAGGGTATATAGAGAAACCCCTGTGTCAAACAAAACAAAACAAACAAAAGGCATAGAGTACCTGGAGTGACTGAGCTTTGCTCACTTCTTTGTAACAGAGAACAGTGTTATCTTCAGCCATGCTGAAACCGTTACAAAAGTCAATATGCCTGTACAGGATTATTTTGTAGGATTTACACCTTTCAAGCATTGTAAAAATTGGCAGTTTTAAACTATGGTGGGATCCTTTTAGCACTGTGGATACCCACTTCTCTTCACTCTTTAAAGTTTTCTCCCTAATTAATGTCTTGCAGTGATCTAGAATCCCGAAGGGATGTGAAAAGAGAGGAAGGAGAGGCCTTTGCTCGGGAGCATGGCCTTATATTCATGGAAACGTCAGCCAAGACAGCCTGCAATGTTGAAGAGGTATCACTACAGAGAAGTGGGGACAGAGGCTCGGAGGTTGTACTGTTGTTGGATTCGTCAGCATCCTCTTCTCCAGGGGACATGAGTAAACAAAGAGTGTATTGTGTCAGAGTGACCGGATGTCTCCTTCCAGGGGAATTGTCCTGTTTTCTTTCACCCTGATTCCTAAGGTTTTACTTTTGCCTTGGATAACATTGTTGGTACATGAAGATTAGATACCACTGTTATTTATAAATCACTTCAGTTGGGAATCTGACAGACACTGTCCTCATTATGATGCCAGGTGGTGACTGTATTCCTCGCTGAGCGTATTTGTTTTATTTGCACTGACTGCTAACCTCTCACCTAGGAGCATCAGTACCTGAATACAGTAGGATCAACTGTGCTTAAATGTGTTTTGTTGTGGCCATGCTTTTGCTTCTTTTTTGTTTTGTTTTTTGTTTTTCTAGACAGGGTTTCTCTGGGTAACAGTCCTCACTATCCTGGAACTCACTCTGTAGATCAAGCTGGCCTCAAACTCACAGAGATCCGCCTGCCTCAGCCTCCCGGGTGCTGGGATTAGAGGTGTACGCCACCGCCACCCGGCAGTACTTTTATTTCTTTAGATATGGTTATGCTATATAGCCCAAACTACCCCAAAACTTGCTGTGTAGCTCAGGCTGGCCTCAAATTTGCAATCTTCCTGCTTTAGTCCCTGTAGTATTGGGATGACAGGTGTGCATTACCATATCTAGTCAATGGCTTTTACAAGGACATTTTTGGAGAATATTTTTTATTTGTTTGTTTTTGAGACAGGGTTTCTCTGTGTGGCCCTGGTTATCCTGGAACTCATTCAGTAGGCCAGGCTAGCCTTGAACTCAGAGATATGCCTGCCTCTGCCTCTGCCTCCTGAGTGCTGGGAGCAAAGGTGTGCGCCACCATTGCCTGGCTAAGATTGTTTGTTTTGTGTTTTGAGACAGGATCTATGTAACCTTGGCTGGCCTAGAACTTCATATGTAGACCAGGCTGGCCTCAAAATCATAGAGATCCACCTACCTTCTGCCTCCATAGTGCTGGGATTAAAGGTGTATACCACCGCCATGCTTAGCTGAAATTTTCTGTATTACTCCTTTCTACTGTTTCTCAATTATTCTCTGGGTAGCTCTGGCTGATCTGGAACTTACTGTGTAGACCAGGCTAGCCTCAGACTTGTGTGATCTTCTTACCTCTGTCTCCTCAGTGATGAGGTTACAGCTCAGATTCTTAATTCACCTAAAGAATTCAGATAAGGATATTTGTATTTCTCTCATCTCTTTACTTAAATTTAAGACTGATAAATGATTTATGTCTCCCTCAGGCCTTCATTAACACAGCCAAAGAAATATATAGGAAGATCCAGCAGGGTTTATTTGACGTCCACAATGAGGTGAGAAAGGTTGGGGCTGGAATGGGCAGTCACCTTGATAGAAGCTCCCTGGAATGTCTGCATCCCTGCCCGGCGATGGCACCCTAACCACAGCTGTCCACCCAAGCTTTTTTTTTTTTTTTCTCGAGACAGGGTGTCTCTGTGTAGCTTTGGTGCCTGTCCTGGATCTTGCTCTGTAGCCCAGGCTGGCCTCGAACTCACAGATATCAGCCTGCCTCTGCCTCCTGGAGTGCTGGGATTAAAGATGTACGCCACCACCACCCAGCCAATCCAAGCTTTTTTTGTTTTTAAGTGCAGATGTCTTAGAACCCATCTTCAGTTTCTGTTTTCTCTTAAATCTGAGCCCCATAATGCTGAAAGAGATACATTGGTGGTCTACAGACTTACATAATAAGCATTTTTTTCTTCTTAACTTCAGTTTCTACCTATCTCAAAATATGAGAGAGAGATAATTTTTTTTTAAAGATTTATTTATTTATTATGTACACAGTGCTCTATCTGCACGTATGCCTGCAGGCCAGAAGAGGGCACCAGATCTCATCACAGATGGTTGTGAGCCACCATGTGGTTGCTGGGAATTGAACTCAGGACCTCTGGAAGAACAAGCAGTGCTCTTAACCGCTGAGCCATCTCTTCAGCCTGAGAAAGATAATTCTTAATTGCTTAGGAGGGAAAGCTCTGGGAGAATAAAAGGGAATCGTATGCAGACACAGCCCTTCTACTCCTTCGCTTCACTTACTCTTTAAAAAAAGTGGTTTTGGTATACGTGTGTGTATGTGGTGTGCACGTGTATATATATATGCATGTTCACATGTGTGTAGGCAAAAGTGTGGGTGTTCATGTGGAGGCCTAAGGTTGACAACAGGTACCCTCACCATCGCTGTTCACCTTACGTATTGAGGCAGGGTCTCTCACGGAACCCAGAGCTCTATATTTAGACTAGGCTGGCTAGCCAGTTGGCTCTGGGGATTCCATAGCTCTGCCTCCTGAGAACTGGGATTGAAGGTGTGCTGGCATGCCCATCTGGCCCTTATGGTTTCTAAGGATCTACACGTTTACACGGCAGTACCTTCCCCGCTCAGCTGTGTCTTTGGCCCCCTTAGTTCTCCTGTTCTCACCCAATCACATTTTAATTCTCCACATAGCTATGAAATTTGTGCAGCAGTGCACCTTGAAAACAGGGACAAAGCCACCCTAGTCACCGCCCATCCCCAGTCATTCTTCCACAACCATTTGGCTGGAGAACGTGATTCTTAGAATTTAGCTGAAGACGTCTCCCTTCTTCCTGTCCTTTCTCTCATTCACCTCAGCACTGATGTAGGAAATGTTGCCTTTTTTCTTTTGCAGGCAAATGGCATCAAGATTGGGCCCCAACAGTCAATTCCAGTATCAGCGGGACCAAATTCTTCTCCACGGAACTCTTGTGACGTAGGGTCTGATTCTGGCTGCTGCTGAACATCTGGCCCGAACTCTTTTTTTTTCCCCCCTCCTGGAACAGCTTCAGATCATTCAGCTTAAAGAAAGATCTTTCTTGCTTTGGCTGAGAGCAGCCTCTTTTCAATGTGTGATGTTTCACCCTTCGCTTAAAACACCAGGAGACAGTGGGGCCCTTACTAACCTGTCCTCCGTTAGGGACATGAGTATTCCATATAGATCACGGCTCCTTTTATCCTCTGGTGTTAGGATCAAAGTTGATTGTCACAGTAGTTAAAGAAATAAACAACTTACTAAATACCTACATCTGTTTGCTAGGTGTGGTGGCACATACCTATAATTCTAGCACTCAGGATTTTTGGCAGGAGGATTGCCAGGAGCTTTGAAATCAGTCTGGGCTACATAAGTATTACCAGGCTGTCCATGGCTACATAGTACAATCCTGTCTCAGAAAGCCAAAAAGAAAAAAGAGAGAAAGGAAAAAAATACATATGCTGTTCCTCACCTAACTTGTAGTAGCTTGGGTGAAGGATATTCTGATTGAACATTTAGGACTTAGGATCTGGATAACTTGGATGACACCTCTGTACATAATAATTTCACTGAGTTTCTTACCTTGCCTTGGAAACCTGCTTGTTTTTCATAGGAGTTCCTATAGAAGCTGGGTGCCTCTGTGCGATTTCATTCCGAGTTTTTTTTATTTATTGTATGCCTACACAACCTTAAATATCATTCCTCAGGAGCCCACCACATTGGTTTTTAAGACAGCATCTCTTACAGGAACATGGCACTCCATGGTTAGTTGAGGTTAGCTGGCCTTTCTCATAGCTAGTTCCTGTTTCTTAACTACAGAACTTCGAGAGTAGCAGAGTTGGTACTGGACCTGTGGCCACATCGTTTACCTAAGAAAATGTTAATTTTTCATTTTGTTTAGGGAACCAGTTCTAGCATTACAGTTTCTTTCACCAAATTGATCTCTACTGTCTCATCATTTTTTCTTTCGCCTCATTTTTTTGTTTTGGCGTGTGTGTGTGTGTGTGTGTGTGTGTGTGTGTGTGTGTGTGTGTGTGTGTGTGTTTGGGGGTGTGTGCTAGAGATCAAATGCAGGTTCTTAAACATGCTAGATAAGTGCTGTATCACTGAGCTATGCCCTCAGGAGCCTTCTCTTTTACTTTTTGTTTGGAAGCAAGTTGCCTAGGCTAGTCTTGAATTTGCAGGCCTTAAACTTGGGATCCCGATGCCTCAGATTTCCAGGTAGCTGAGCATACTCCTAACCAGATCTATTAGACTTTTACTCTAATCAAGCTAATTGGCTTACTGAATATGACATATTTATTCCAACTTCTATACCTTTGCACATCCTCTACTAACATCATACTGACTTTTTTCCTTTAGGAAACCCTCAGTGACTGACCTAGGGAGTTCTAAGAAATTATTAACACAGTATCTCTTAGCATTCCTATCTTGGTTATTCATATGTGTATTTGTATGTATTTTACTTTGTAAATACGTTTTGTAGTTTTTTTTGGGGGGGGCGGGGAGGAGGTTCTGTCTCATATAGGATGTAAGCTCTATGAGAGCAGGGTCCATGTCATTCCCAATCCATCACACCATTCTTTACTGTACCCTGCACAAGTCATGATCTTGAATTTGAGTGACATACTTTAAAACTTAAGGCTTTAGACTTTAGAAGAAACAAAAGGCCTTAGAATTGTATCTTTATAATTGTGTCTCAGCTTTCCCCATCTGCTTATCCTGGGTTCTCTATTGCTCTTCTCTCCTGCCCCACTGTAACTTACTGCCCTCATTCTGTGCAGCATACAGTATGAATGCCTGCTACCAAGACTCAGATAAGTAGATACTTCTTCGCCTGCTCCTTAGAGTGGATAGTACCAGTTTGCCTCCGCTTCCCATGTCATGCCACCTCCTGGGATAGTTGCTCTTTTTTACTTGTCTCATTTTCTTTCACAGCACTGAGGTCTTATCAAATTTTCTAATTTTTATTGTTAATGACTGTTTTACTATTAAATATATGCATGATCCAAGCTGCTTCTATTTCATGTGTCATTTCTGATTATACCCTAAGTGTAAGTAGATAATATCCTCCTAGAGTATTGCATCAAAGATACCTTCTTCTTAGAATTGGTTTATACTGAATTCTACCCCTGGTAGTAGCAGTAAAGTCAACATTACATCATAGGAACTTAGAAGACATGTGGGCATTGAAGTAATTATGCTTTTGGTGTTTTGTTTTTTAACCTTATTTATTCGAAAAAGGTTTGTCCGTTGTTAAATTTGCATTTAGCCTGTTTCCTTACCAGGCACAAAACTAAAGTATATAATGTAATACTTTTCTTTTTTCCTTCTTCTCTCCCTCTCTTCTTTTCTTTCTTCCTTTCTTTTTAAGTCAGACTACGTAGCCCAGGCTGTCCTAGAACTCCTGATCCTCCGGTAATAGCCTTCTGAGTGCTGAATGTGCCAGCACATCCATCAATTTGTAGTTTCTATTAAAAAGTTTTCTTTACTGTTCAAAATTTTTTTTTAGCAATTCACAAGGATTAGAGAATTGGCTGAAGACAGTGTTTTGCCTACAGCTGTTATTCTCAGTGTGATGAAAGGGAACCTTTCTGATATTATTGATGCATTAGAAAGGGGGGGCGAACCTAATTCCAACATCCAATTCTATTTTATTTTATAACCTTCTATGCTAAGTATTTTTGCCATTTTGAAAGGAAACAGAAAAAGTGTGGCTATAAATTCATGGCCTGAGTCAAGTGGTCATGAATGAATACAGAAACATCTCCCACCCCCATGTACTGAATGGTAATTATGAGACATTCTGGGTGTTAATTGGCTTTTGAAACCATGAACACTAGAAATCATGTAATTTATAGCAACAAATCAGTCTAATTAGTAGAAATCATTGAATCAGACACTTTCTCCCTTTCTATGATGCTTATAATGACTTCCTTTGTTGGTGGGTCTTGTATTCTGTACCAGAAAATAACTAGATGGGTAATAGGCTCTTATTATAGAAACCATATAATTAAGATTATACCTCTTGCCGGGCGGTGGTGGCGCACGCCTTTAATCCCAGCACTTGGGAGGCAGAGGCAGGCAGATCTCTGTGAGTTCTAGGCCAGCCTGGTCTACAAAGTGAGTTCTGGGAAAGGCACAAAGCTACACAGAGAAACCCTGTCTTGGAAAAAAAAACAAAAACCAAAAAACCCCAAACAAACAAACAAGATTATACCTCTTTGCATTTGCACAAACACTATTATACAAACATTATTCTCATAAATCCTAATACCTCAAATTTATACAGTGTTATTTAGATCTAGGAAAGAATTTGACAAACATTCAGTATACAAGGAAAATTAATGATCAAGTCTTATTTTCTTATAAAATATTACATGATTTTTTTTTCAAGACAGGGTTTCTCTGTATAGTTTTGGCTGCCCTAGAACTTGATCTGTAGCCCAGCCTGGCCTTGAACTCAGAGATCCGCCTGTCTCTGCCTCCCAAGTGATGGGATTAAAGGCGTTGCTCTATCATTGCCCAGCTTGATATGATTTCTTAACTGTATGACCCTGCAACTATGTTAATGTTTGGAAAATTCCTTTAATAATTTAAAAGACTCCACCATGACTCCTGAAAAAAATATAAAGATTTTTGAGGGACTAGAGAGATGGCTCAGCTGTTGAGCATGTACTCTTTCAAAGGACTAGAGTTCAGGTCTTTGTCATGTGAGCTTTCCAATACTGGTATTTACACAAGCCCATGGAAATGTAGTCGGCAAAACTTTAGAAAACACAGGAACACCTTTCTCAGTTCAGTTTCACCTATGATGAAATTTTGCTGCTTTGCAGTAAAATGACTGTCAATGGTCCCTCTACTAAGACTTAGTTGGCCTGTGTGTATTCTTGAATAGTTTGGAACTATTAGTGAACTTAATTAAGGTCTTTGGGGTTTTGGTGTGTGTTTGTTTCGTTTTTTGAGACAGTGTTTCTCTTTGTAGCCTGGAACTCACTTTGTTAACCAGGCTGGCCTCAAACTCACAGAGATCTATCTGCTTCTGCCTCCCAAGTGTTGGGATTAAAGGCATGCACCACCACTGCCTTGTTTAGGTCTTTTGTTTTCTAAGTGAAATTTCGCACTCCTATTATTACTAAATGACTCAGTATTTTGAGTTGCTAAAATCAGAACAGGGGGCTGGGTGGTGGTGGCACATGTCTTAAATTCCAGTACTCAGCAGGAAGAGGCAGGCAGATCTCTGGTTTTGAGGCCAGCCTAGTCTACATAGCGAGTTCCAGACCAGCCAGGGCCGTACTCTGAGACCCTGTCTCAAAAAAAACAACACTGGAAAATCTGTAATAGATGCAATAGATAAGCTTGTAGAATGGCTATATAACCTGTGTCTATTGTGTGTTGATAATCCTGCTTATAAAGGATTATCCCAGGAACTGGTCACAGATGGGTTATTCGAAAAACTTGGTTGTTGACTTCTCTAATATAGCACCATCATTCCTACATTTAAGTGAGGATAGTGGGGCTTGCTTCCAATCACGTTCAACATTATTCCCAGACTTCCTCACCCTGACCAATAGGTGTCCTGAGTATGTGAAGGGACAGTTATGTTGGGGCTGGACCGAAACGGACCAACAGACTCCCAAAAGGGCTTCAAATTCCTGTAAGTAATAGTAGATGTTCACCGAGCCAGCATGTCCTTCTGTGACAGGTAGCAGGTGGTGTACTGGTTTGGAGCGCCCCCAGTGGTTGGGGTCAGAGGCCGGTCCTGCCAGCCCGCGGCCAGTTTCTATTTCCAATCAGGCATATCTGCGGTTGCCTACGTACCCTTCTCAGCCTCAGGACCTCCCACCCTTCAGAGACTTCCTGGATGGCACCCCGTTCCGGCCTTCCCATTGGTGGGTGGAGGACAGTGGGCGGGCCCAGGGGCATGGAGGACTAGCAAGCTTGCTTGCAGCGAGGGCTGGCCGAGCTCCGCCGGAAGGCGCCTTGTTCTCCCGGACGGTGGGTTGCAACTCCGCCGGGGAAAGGAAGCTGCAGGACTAACTCAGGTGAGCCTGCGGCATGCGCGCCTCCACCAAGCCTCGGCGCAGCCTGGGCCGGGAGTGGGTGGGGTAACACGTCCACGCACGCACCCAGGCGGGTGCACTTGTGAGCGATCAGGTGCGGGGATGCTGGGGACTGAACCACTCTCCTTTGTGAGAGGCCGGCGCTGGGGACAGTGCGGGCCGCGGGGACGTGCTGGGACGGGCCGCGAGGGAGCTGCTGGGGCCATCGTGGCGTTTCGGAGCTTGTCATTGCCCTGCTGGGCGAGGCGCACATTCGAGGCAGCTGCCTTGTTCTCCTTCCTCCTTCACAGGAAGAAAAACTCCCCTGCTCGGTTTGGTTACTCCATACTTTGGACTCAGAAGTGTGAGACCAAGGTTTTATTTTGTTTGGCTGTTTTTTTCCCCCCCCCCCTCCCATCTTTTCTGTATTTTAGTAAATGTAGATAGAAAAGCATGGGGTGAGCGTGTGCAGATCTGTTATGTACCCAGTTACTGTGGGGGCTGTTGCAAAGTGGAGATGATGGGGAAACAGCCCAAGTCTTGGGTCTTCCGTGACAGGTCTGCAGGTTTTCTGACACATTATGTAAACTCTTCACTGAGAAGACCTTCTCCTCCTGTCTCTTAGCGTATACAGTTTTTTGTTTGTTTGGTTTTTGTTTTTGTTTTTTTAATTTACCTGTCTCTGATGTCTCAAAAAAGTGTGCCTGCCATTTGCTGCAGCTGTGCATACGCAGCAGCGCCTCTTTTAGGGGCAGTCGTTAAAGGCTTCCCAGAAGAGGTACGTAGTGGACCAGTCTTTGCAGTGAGTGAGCAAAGTGAGCCAGAACTCAGCTCGTGATTTTCTTTTAAAGGACAGACGTAATGGGACAGCTCAGGTACAAGCGAGGAGGCTGCTCTATCATTGTCCGCTGTCATGACATCGCTGGCCACCTGATCTCTGCTCTGAGTTTGTAAACTCAGAGAGTCTCTCACTGGCTTATCCTCGTGGCAGCAGACACAAAGAAGGTGAACTTGTAATTTGGATGTTTCCTCCGCCCCCTTTTAAAACAGAATTTCCGGCTGTCCTGGAACTGGTTTTGTAGACCAGGCTGGCCGCGAACTCACAAAGATCATGCTGCCTCTGCCTTCCCAGTGCAGGATCAAAGGTGTGCGCCACCGGACATGACTGGGATATTGTCTTTTTTTAAAAAAAAAAAAAAAAAAAACCATTTTTATGTTGGCTATGTAATTGGCAACTTTTTTTTTCTTTTTTTTTTTGAGACAGGGTTTCTGTGTGTAGTTTTGGTGCCTGTCCTGGATCTCGCTCTATAGACCAGGCTGCCCTTGAACTCACAGAGATCCGCCTGGCTCTGCCTCCTGAATGCTAGGATAAAAGGTGTGCGCCACCACGGCCCGGCTATAATTGGCAACTTTTTATAATTTATTTTTATTTTATTGCATTGGGTTTTTTTTTTTTTTTTTTTTTTTTTTTTTTTTTTTTGGCCTTCTTGTATGTCTGTGTGAGGGTTTCTGATCCTCTGAAACTGGAGTCACAAACAGTTGTAGCTGCCATGTGGGTGCTAGGAATTGAATCTGGGTCCTCTGGAAGAGCAGTCAGTGTTCTTAACCGCTGAGCCACCTCTCCAGCCTCAGTATTGTCTTCTTAATTACAGAAAAACTTCTGCCTAGAGTTTCTTTTTGTGGTCACCCAACAGAGTCCACAACAAGAAGTGGGCAACCTCTTTTTTGTTAGTTTTGCCTGTCCTGAATCTCCCTCTGTAGCCCAGGCTGGCCTCGAACTCACAGAGATCCGCCTGCCTCTGCCTCCCGAGTGCTGGGATTAAAGGCGTGCGGCCACCACCAACGGCTTTATTTTTGTTTTTGTATTTCAAGACAGAGTTTTTCTGTGTGTCACTCTGGCTGACCTGGAACTCACTCTGTAGACCAGGCTGGCCTCAAACTCACAGAGATCCACCTGCTTCTGCCTCCCG